GCATGGGCCGGGGTCACCAGCCAGCTCATGGCCAACCGAGGAGGCTGACCCAGAAGCCATGTGCCGCTGTGGACATGGAAGGAGCATAGCCCGCTCTGGGCATGATAGACACGTGTCCAGGTGCCCTTTGCAAGCCACACCTGAAATAGAAGCCTGGCGTCCCAGGGCCCCGTGCTTTCTCTGGTGGGTCCCCATCCATGCTCCGAACATGTCCCAAACACAGAGCTGGGCCACCCTTTCCTTTCCTTAGGCCAAAGACTCTGCCATCCTAGAGATGACCCCATGGCACAGAAAAAGCCTGGGTGGCAAATTCCAGAGACAGGACCATTGACAGCAGGCCCTCCCACCTCAGGATCCACTCTTCCAGCCTCCCACCCATGGGGAAGGGGTGACCTCCAGCAGGACGAGGGCTGCCCACTTGGCCTAAAGCCCACAAGTCCCAGGGTTGGCCCGAAGCACCATCAGGCATCGGCCAGAACTCAGCTTTGACCCACACCCAGGAAAACAGCCCTGCTCCCAACAAAGCTCAAAGAGGCGCTATGGGATGGCCCATTGCTCAAAAGTGTCAGCCCTTTTAGGGCCATGGTTGTGGTGCGATCCTTGATGTCCATGGCCCGACTCCATGACCTTATTCAGGCACCCCTCTCCAGGGAAAGAGAGCTCTTGTGTGATCCCTGTGGTGCCCCGGAGGCCCTGTGACACACTCGCGTGGACTGAGCACTTCTCCAGGCTGACACACACACACAGTCTCAACTGGAAGCTGCCCTGCGTGGGGCCGAAGGAACACTTTCCTGCCTGGACCACTGTTACCCTGAAGGTCTTCAGAAAGGCAAGGTCTTGGGTACGAATCCCAAGGAGCTGCCCTCCTAGAGAAACTGTCCCTACCCAGTGGAGACACAGGTCAGCTCCCTAAGGAAACCCTCCTGTCCGAAAGACTGACCCTCGGGGAGAGCACGCGGCCTGACTCATGGCCCATGACGCCAGCAGGATGTACTCACCTATGCAGGTCAAGGCCAAGGGGCCCTTCTGAGCTGAAGAGCTCACTGAAAGACACAATGGGAGAATGGGGACTCAGAGAGCAGCCCCCAGTGTGCCCTGCCCCTGGGGAACAGGTGGGTCAAACCAAGTCCACACAGGGATCCTGGTGTGCTTCATGGAGGAGCACAGACACAGGGTTGGGTACCCCTGAGAGGCCTTTGAGGGCCTCAAGGTCTCTAGCCCAAAATATAGTGGCCTTGCCAGAGGACCTCATGATTCCCAGTGTCCACATCCAAAATTCTCCCCTAGGCTGGGCCTCAACGTAATCCTATTGAGCATGACTTTTAAGTCACCACTTCTCTTCAGGACAATATAAGGTTCTCATCATTGACCCAACCTAGAGTACCCTCTCCCCAAGCATGCATCCAGCTAGACTCAGATGAGCTCACCAGCTCCATGCAGGAGACCAGGGCACCAGGAAGGATCCGAGGTTCAGTGCAACAGGGCCTGGGCACCTGGCAGACGGCCTGTGGCCTGGGCACAGTGGGCCCAACGCAATCCTCCCCCAGGTTCACCACCCAGGAGGACAGGAAGAGGACCCATGTGATGGGATCCATGTGAAATACTGACCTGCCATGGACATGGGGCACCCCTTGGCCCTCCCCGCCACTACACCCTGGAAGGGCAGGGCAGGCGGGTCACTGGGCTCCGGCAAGACACCTGTGCTGTGCCTACTGCAGGCCTCAAGATAACCTCCACTGCCCACCCTGGCTGTTCCACATGAACCTGAGGCTGCACAGAGACTCCTGGACATGGGCCAGGGCCACCAAACAGCTCACGGCCTACAAAGGAGGCTGGTCCTGATGCCAGGAGCCACTACAGATGTGGCAGTTGCATAGCCTGCCCCTGGGCATGGTGGGCCCCCAACCAGGCACCCTCTCCAAGCGCATACTGGAAATCTCAGCCTGGGGCCCCATGGCTACGTGCTTTCTCTGGTGCGTCCCATGTCCTACACACCTCCCAAACTCACAGCCAGGCCATAGTTGACCAATCAGGGGCCATATGGTGTCTTCTCCATTCCTTGGGCCCAAGACCCTGCCACCTGAGGTGATGCCATGGCTCAGAAGCAGCCTGGGCAGCAAATTCCTCAACAAGGTCCCTGAACAGTGGGCCTTCCCACCTAAAGAGACCACCCATCCTTACACCGGGACTCAGTAAAGGCGTGATTCCCCCACGAAGGACACAGGCTGCTGACCTGGCCCGAAGACCACAAGTCCCTGGGCCACACTGCAGCACTATCAGGAGCTGGACAGAGCTCAACCTTGACCCAACCTCGTTGAAACAGCAACACACCCACACCGGGCTCAATGTGGCGCCACTGGGATGGCTCACTGCTCAACACCGTCAGGCCCATTCAGGGCCATAGGTGAGCATGAACCTTGAAACACTAAGGCCTGACCCTGTGGGCCTGACCGCTCAGTCACCACCCCTGCAACAACACCGAGGACTGAGAGCTCTTGCATGATTTCTGTGGTGCCCCGAAGCTCCTGTGTGGCACTCCACAGGTGGCCTGGGCAGTTCTCCAGACCTGACCCATGCACAGAGTCTCATCTGGGAGCTGTCCTGCATGGGGCTGAAGAAACTCTTTGCTGCCTGAGCCATGGTCACTTCTGCAGGTCTTCAGAGAAGCCGTCTTCCATGGGACCCATTCGGAAGAAATCGGCCCTCCTGGAGAACCCTTCCCTCCCTAGTGGGGAACCCATTCCCCGGCTCCCTGAGGAAACCCTCCTGACCCAAAGGCTGAGCCAGCATCCCCACGCAGCCTGGTTCATGGACCATGATGCCAGCAGATGCCACTCACCTATGCCAGTCAATGCCATGGGGCCCACCTTGGCAGGAGAGCTCACTGAAAGACACAAAGGAGAAGGGGGACTCAGGGAGGAGCCGCCAACCTGCCTCACCCCCAGGGAATGGGACTCTGACACCAAGCCCGCACAGGTAGCCTGGGTTGCCTCACAGAGCAGCACAGAGACAAGGCTGGGGGGCACCAAGACGCCCTTCAGGGCCTTGAGGACTCCAACCAAAAATACAGCAGTCTGCCAGGGACCTCGAGATCCCAGTGTCCTCTTCCAAAATTCTCCGCAAGGTTGGGCCTCAGCGTAATCCTATTGAGCATGATTTTTAAGTCATCACCTCCCTTCAGGACAATATGAAGTTCTCATCATTGACCCAACTGAAGCCAACCTCCTCCCACACATGCACCCGGTGGGACCCTGACAGACTCACCACAGCTCAGTGCAGGACACCAGGGCGCCAAGAAGGACCTGAGCTTCAGTGCACCAGGGGCTGGGCACATGGCTGACAGACACACGCCCAGAGACATTGGGCCCAACGCAAGTCTTCCTCTGGGTTCACCATCTAGCGGGACAGGAGGAGGACATGTGTCCAAATAGGGTCTCATGCCTCCATGCGGGGAAGGTGAGTGGGGGATACCCATCACCCATGTGATGGGATCCATTTCGAACACTGACCTGTCAGGGACACGGACACGGACACGGAGCACCCTTGGCCCTCCCTGCCACCAAATCCAGGAAGCCCAGGAGGCACCCTATTGCAGGTCCCAAGAGCATCTCCACTGCCCCGCCAGCTGCCCTGAACGAGGTCAGGGCCACCCTGAGACCACTGGACATAGGCCAGGGCCACCAACCAGCTCATGGCCAAACAGGAGGCTGGCACGGATGCCACACGCCACTGCTGACTTGGCAGTCGAGAGCCTGCCCCTGCCCATGTCCCAGCATGAACCAGAAATCACAGCCTGGGGCTCCAGGGCCACATAGTTTCTCTGATGGGTCCCCATCCATGCCCTGCACACCTCCCAAACACAGAGCCGGGCCACACTCAACCAATCCGGAGACACATGGTGTGCCCCCATTTCCTTGGACCTAAGAAACCGCCACCCTGGAGATAAACCCATGGCTCAGAAGCAGCCTGGGTAGCAGATTCCCAGGATAGTTTGCTTAAAAGGGGGGTTTACCACTTGAGGAAGCCACCTTTCCTGCCATTTAATCTCCACAAAGAGTGATCCCAGGCATGACCCAAGCTGTCCCCATGACCCAAAGCCCACGAGGTCCAGGGCCAGCCTGCCGAATGAAAAGGCATTGGCCAGAGCTCAGCCTTGACCTAACCCTAGGGAAACAGCACCACCCAGCACCAGGCTCAAGGAGGCGCCACTGGGACGGTCCATTGCTCCACAGTGTCGGGCCCATTCAGGGGCATCGGTGGAGTGTGGTCCTTGAAACTGCCCCATGACTCCCACGGGCCCAATCGCACACTACTCTTTGTGGATTAAAAGCCCCCACGAGACCCCGCAGGGCTCCGGAGCCCCGGTGGCCACCTCATGTGTCCTGGGCATTCTCGAGGCCTGACCGACGCACTGACTCGCAGCTCGCAGCTGCCCTGCATGGGGCTGAAGGAACCCTTTCCTGCCTGGACCACCATCACCCCTGCCGGCTTCAGGATAGGCATCCTCCTTGGGTTCAATTCCCAAGGAAGCGGCCCTTCTCGAGAACTCATCCCCAGTGGGAATTCAGATCAATACTTTTAGGAAACCTTCATGGCCCAACGGCGGATGCTCAGTGACCTTACTGCCATGCTCATGACCCATGACCCCAGCAGGACCCACTCACCTATGCTGGTCAATGCCAAAGGGCCCACCTGCACAGAAGAGCTCGCTGAAAGACACAAGGGGAGTAGAGGGGTTCAGGGAGGAGCCACCAACATGCCCCACCCTGGGGAGCTAGAGCACCCACACCAAGCCTGCACAGGGAGCCAGGGCTGCCTCACAGAGGAGCGCAGAGACAGGGTTGGACCCCTCGAGATGCCCTTCAGAGCCTTGAGGTCTCTCGCCCAGAATACAGTGGCCCTGCCAGTGACCTTGGGATCCCAGTGTCCTCTTCCAAAATTCTCACCTAGGCTGGGCCTCAGCATAATACTATTGAGCATGATATTTAAGTCATCATCTCTCTTCAGCACAATATAAAATTCTCATCATTGACCCAACCTATGGTATTCCCCTCCCCATGCATGGATCCAACAGGACCCAGATGGGCTCACCAGCTCCATGCAGGAGACAAGGGTGTCAGAAAGGGCCCAAGCTTTGTTCCAATAGGGCCTGGGCCTCTGGCCGATAACCTCTGCCCAAGCACAGCAGGCCCAACACAAGTCTTCCTCTGGGCTCACCATCTGGGGGGACAGGAGGAGGACCCATGTGCTGGGATCCATGTGAAATATTGACCTGTCATGGATACGGGGTACCCCTGGCCCTCCCCAACACTGAACCCTGGAAGGACAGGGTAGGTGAGTCATTGGGCTCTGGCAGGATGCCTGCGCTGTGCCTACTGCAGGCCTCAGGATAACCTCCCCTCCACACACGAGCTGCTCCATATGACCCCAGGGCTACACAAAGACCACTGGGTACGGCGCATGGCCACCAACCAGCTCACAGCCAACAAAAAAAGGCTGGTCCTGATGCCAGGCACCGTTGCAGACCTGGCAGTTGTGGGGCTTGGAGGATGCCAACCAGGCACCCTCTCAAAGTGTACATCGGAAATCGCAGCCTGGGGCCACATGGCTACGTGCTTTCTCTGATGTGTCCCCATCCACGCCCCATTCATTGCCCAAACACAGAGCCAGGCAATACTGGACCAATCAGAGGCCACATGGTGTCTTCTCCATTCCTTGGGCCCAAGACCCCGCCACCTGGAGGTGCCATGGCTCAGAAGCAGCCTGGGCAGCAAACTCCTCAACAAGGTCCCTCGACAGCAGGCCTTCCCACCTAAGGAGGCCACCCATCCTTACAATGGAACTCAGGAAAGGCGTGGCCCCCAGCAGGATGTGGGCTGCTGACATGGCCCAAAGCCCACAAGTCCCTGGGCCAGCCTGCCTCACCATCAGGTGCCGGCCAGAGCTCAACCTTGACCCAACCCCATTGAAACAGCAACGCACCCCCACCAGGCTCAATGTGGCACCACTGGGATGGCTCACTGCTCAACAGTGTCAGGCCCATTCAGGGCCATGGGTGGGTGTGAACCTTCAAACACTAAGGCCTGACCCTGTGGGTCTGACTACTCAGTCACCACCCCCGCAACAACACCGAGGACCACGGGCTCCTGCATGACCCCTGTGGTGCCCCGAAGCCTATGTGATACCCTGCAAGTGGCCTGGGCAATTCTCCAGGCCTGACCCATGCACACAGTCTCATCAGGGAGCTGCCCTAATGGGGCTGAAGAAACTCTTTGCTGCTTGAACCATCATCACCTCTGCAGGTCTTCAGAGAAGACGTCCTCCATCTTGGGAAGAAAGTGGCCCTCCTGGAAAACCCAACCTTTCTGGGTGGGGATTCCCCGGCTCCCTGAGGAAACCCTCCTGTCCCAAAGGCTAAACCGGTATCCCCACACAGCCTGGCTCATGGTCCATGACGCCAGCAGGTTCCGCTCACCTATGCCAGTCAATGCCAGGGGACCCACCTGAGCAGAAGAGCTCACTGAAAGACACAAAGGAGAACGAGGACTCAGGAAGGAGCCGTCAACCTGCCTCACCCCCAGGGAATGGGACTCTGACACCAAGTCCGCACAGGGAGCCTGGGTTGTCTCACAGAGGAGCACAGAGACAGGGTTGGGGGCCGCCAAGATGCCCTTCAGGGTTTCAAGGTCTCCAACCGAATATACAGTGGCCCTGCCAAGGATGTCAAGATCTCAGGGTCCCCTTCCAAAATTCTCAGCCAAGGTTGGGCCTCAGCGTAATCCTATTGAGCATGATTTTTAAGTCATCACCTCTTTTCAGGACAACATAAAGTTCTCATCATTGACCCAACCGAAGACCCCCAACCCTGCTATGCATGCATCCAGTGGGATCTAGATGGGCTCACCAAAGCTCAGTGCAGGAGACAGGGTGCCAGGAAGGGCCTGAGCTTCAGTGCACCAGGGGCTGGACACACTGACTAACGGACACTGGTCCAGAGACACTTGGCCCAATGTAAATCTTTCTCTGGGTTCACCATCTAGAGGGACAGCAGGAGGACATGTGTCCAAATAGGGCCTCATTCCTCCACGCAGGAAAGGTGAGTAAGGAATACCCATGTGATGGGATCCATGTGGAACACTGACCCATCACAGACATGGGCACAGAGCACACTTGGCCCTCCCTGCTACCAAACCCTGGAAGGTCAGGTCAGGTAGGTAACTGGTCTCGCACAAGAAGCCCCGGCTACGCCTCACTGCAGGTCCTGAGAGCACCTCCACTGACCTGACGGCTGCCCTGAACAAAGCCAGGGCTACCCTTGGACCACTGGGCAAGGGCCATGGCCACCAACTAGCTCATGGCCTATCAGGAGTCTGGCCCGGATGGCATGAGCCACTGCAGGCTTATCAGCCAAGAGCCTGCCCCTCCCTGGGCAAGTGTGCACCAGAAATCAAAGCCTGGGACTCGAGGGCCACATAGTTTCTCTGATGGGTCCCCATCCATGCCCTGCACACCTCCCAAACCCAGAGCCAGGCCACACTCAACCTATCTGGGACACATGGTGTGCTCCCCTTTCCTTGGGCCCAAGATGCCGCCACCCTGGAGGTGACCCCATGGCTCAGAAGCAGCTAGGTGGCAAATTCCTAGAACAGGTTGCTTGACAAGGGGGCTTCCCACCTTAGGAAGCCACCATTCCTGCCATTCAACCTCTGGGAAAGCTGACCTTCCAAGTATGACCCAACGTGTCCCCATGGCCCAAAGCCCACAGGGTCTGGGGCCAGCCTGCAGCATCACCAGGCACTGGCCAGAGTTCAGTCTTGACCTAACCCCAGGGAAACAGCACCACCCACCAGTAGACTCAAGGAGGTGCCACTGGAATGGCCCATTGCTCCACAGGGTCCGTCTCCATTCAGCTGCATGCGTGGGGTGCAATTTTTGAAACTCCGTGACATGACTCCCATGGGCCCAACTGCCCACCACTCTTTATGGATGAAAACCCCCATGAGACACCCATAGGGTCCGAGAGCCCTGTGGCCACCTCACATGTCCTGGGCAGTCCTTGAGGCCTGACCAATGCACTGAGTCTCAGCTGGCAGCTGCCCTGCGTGAGGCTGAATGAACCCTTCCTACCTGGACCACTATCACCGCTATGGGGCTTCAGGACAGGCGTTTTCCTTGGGTCCAATTCCCAAGAAAGCAGCCCTTCTGGGGAACTCATCCCTGGTGGGAATTCAGGTCAATACTTATTTTAGGAAACTCTCATGGCCTGTAGGCAGACACTCAGAGACCCCACTATGCCACACTCATGACCCATGACCCCAGCAGGATCCACTCACCTATGCCAGTCAATGCCTAAGGCCCCACCTGGGCAGAAGAGCTCACTGAAAGACACAAGGGGAGTAGAGGGGTTCAGGGAGGGGCCACCAACATGCCCCACCCCGGGGAACTAGAGCACCCACACCAAGCCCGCACAGGGAGCCAGAGCTGTCTCACAGAGGAGTGCAGAGACAGGGTTGAACCCACTGAAGATGCCCTTCAGGGCCTTGAGGTCTTTAGCCCAGAATACAGTGGCCCTGCCGGTGACCTTGGGATCCCAGTGACCTCGCCCAAAATTCTCACCTAGGCTGGGCCTCAGCGTAATCCTATTGAGCATGATTTTTAAGTCATCACCTCTCTTCTGGACAATATAAGGTTCTCATCATTGACCCAATCCAGTGCAGCCCCCTCTCCATGCATAGATCCAGTGGGACCTGGATGGGCTCACCAGCTCCACACAGGAGATCAATGCACCAGGGCCTGGACACCTGGCTCATTGCCTCTGGCCGGGGCACAGTGGGACAAACGCAAGTCTTCCTTCAGGCTCACCATCTGGGGGGACAGGAGGAGGATCTATGTGCTGGGATCCATGTCACGGACACGAGGCAGCATTGGCACTCCCCGCCACCAAACCCTGGAAGGACAGGGCGTGCGGGCCACTGGGCTCAGGCAAGATACCTGGGCCGTGCCCTACTGCAGGCCTCAGGATGACCTCCACTGCCCACGCCGGCTGCTCCACATGACCCCAGGGCTTGACAGAAACCACTGGGCACACCCCAGGGCCACCAACCACCTCATGCCCAACAAAGGAGGCTGGTCCTGATGCCAGGTGCCACTGCAGACCTAGCAGTTGCATAGCCTGCCCCTGGGCATGGTTGGCACCCAACCAGGCATGCTCTCCAAGCCCACATTGGAAATTGCAGCCTGAGGCCCCATGGCTACATGCTTTCTCCTGTGGATCTCCATCCAGCCCTACATACCCTGGAGGTGACCCAACGGCTCGGAAGCATCCTGGGAGGCAAATTCCCAAGAGATTGCTTAACAGGGGGATTTCCCACCGTAGGAAGCCACCATTCGACATCCAGGAAGGGTTGACCCAAAGCATGACCCAAGCTGTCCTCATGGCCCAAAGCCCATGAGGTCTAGGGCCAGCCTGCAGCACCAAGAGGCGCTGGCCAGAGCTCAACCTTGACCCATACCCAGGGAAACAGCACCATCCTCCACCAAGCCCAAAGAGGCGCCCCTGAGATGGCCCAATACTCAAGAGGGTCGGTCCATTTAGGGCCATGATTGGGCAATCCTTGAATCTCCATGGCTGACCCCATGGGCCCATTCATGTACCCCTCTCCAGAGAAAGAGAACTCTCATGTAACCCCTGTGGCACCCCAGAGCCCCTGTGGCCCCTGTCACGTGGCCTGGGCAGTCCTCGGGGCCAGACATGCACAGTGAGTCTCAGCTAGGAGCTGCCCTGCATGGGACTGAAGGAAGCCTTTCCTGCCTGGACCACTGTCACCCCTGCAGAGCTTCAGGGAAGGCACTGTCCTGGGGCTAATTCCAAGGAAGCCGGCCTCCTGAAGAATCCATCCCTCCCCAGTGGGGATTCATGTCAGCTCCCTTGGGAAACCCTCCTGTCCTCAAGGCTGATCATTGGTGAGACCAAGTGGCCTGACACATGGCTCATGATGTCCAGAGAATGAACTCACCTATGTGCATCAATGACAGGGAGCCCCACCTGTGCAGACGAGCTCACTCAAAGACACAAGACCCAAGGCAAGAACCGGGGCTCAGGAAGGACCCAGAAAGTTGTCCTACCCCAGGGAACCAGAGCGCCAACACCAAGCCCACACAGGGAGTCTGAGCTGCCTCACAGAAGAGTGTGGAGACAGAGTTGGGTAACCCGAAGATGCCCTTCAAGGCTCCAGGCCTGCAGCCCAAAACACAGTGGCTCTGCCAGGGACCCTAAAATCCCAGCATCCACTTCCAAAATTCTCATCTAGGCTGGGCCTCAGCGTAATCCTATTGAGCATGATTTTTAAGTCATCACCTCTCTTCAAGACAATATAAGGTTCTCATCATTGACCCAACCCAGGGCACCACCCTCCACCCCCTACACATGCATCCAGTGAGACCCAGATGTGCTCACCATAGCTCAGTGCAGGAGACCAGGGTGCCAGGAAGGGCCTGAGCTTCAGCTCACCAGGGCCTGAGCACCTGGCTAAGGGACACAGGCCCATCGCCAGTGGGCCAGATGCAAGTCTTCCTCCAGGGTCACCATCTGGAGGGACGGGGGACAGGTGTCCAAACAGGGCCTCATGCCTCCATGCGGGAAAGTGGGCAGGGGTGCTGGCTCACACAGGCTCTTTCTCCATGGACTCATGAGATGGGATCCATGTAAAACAGTGACAGTCATGATCGTGAGGAACCCTTGGCCCTCCCTGCCACTGAATCCTGGAAGGACAGGGCAGGCAGGTCATGGAATTCAAGCAAGACGCCCAGGCTGCACCCTACTACAGGATCCAAGAGCACTTTTACTGCTCACACCAGCTCCCCCGCACAACTCTGGGCTGTGCAGGGATACTGGGCAGGGCCAGGGCCACCAACCAGCTCACTGCAAACCAAGGAGGCTGGCCTGGACGCCATGTGCCACTGCAGACCTGGTAGTCACTTAAGCTGCCCCTGGGCATGGAATGCACCTGTCCAGGTGTCCTCTACAGGGTCACACCAAAAATTGCATCCTGGGGCCCCAGGACCATGTGCTTTCTCTGTTGGGTCCCAATTCATGGACTGCACACCTCCCAAACAGAGCTGGGCCACACTCGGCCAATCGGGGCCACATGATATCCTCTCCTTTCCTTCGGCTCAAGACCCTGCCACCTTGGAGGCAACCCCATGGCTCAGAAACAGCCTGGGCAGCAAAGTGCAGGCATAGAACCCTTGACAGTGGCCTTCTACCACAAGATGCCACCCTTCCGGCCACTCCACTTTGGTGTGGAATGACCTCCAATGGAATGTGGGCTGCACCGTTGGCCAAAAGCCCACGATTCCCAGGGCCAACCACTAGGTGACTGCCAGAGCTCAGCCTTGGCCCAACCCCACTCAGGCCACACCACCCCCACCAAACTCAAGGAGGCACCACTGTGATGCCCCATTGCTCAACAGGGTCAGTCCCATCAGGGCCATGGGTTGAGCCTGACCTTTGAATCTTCATGACCTGACTCCATAAGCCCAATCACCCTCCCCACTGCAAGCCTCAGGGACTGAGAGATCCCACCTAAAACCTACAACCCCCAGAGACCCTGTGGACCCCCTCATTTGGCCTGAGCAGGTCTCCAGGCCTGACCCGTGCACAAAGTCTAAGCTAGGAGCTGCACTGCATTGGGTTGAAGGAACCCTTTCCTGCCTAGACCTCCATAACCCCTGCAGGGTTTAGAGATGGCGTCCTTCTTGGGATCAATTTCCAAAAACGCCGCCCTCCTAGAGAAGCCATCCATCCCTGGTAGGGATTCAGGGTGGCTCCCTAAGGAAACCCTTGTTGACTGAAGAGTGGCCCTCAGCGACTCCCCGTGGTCTGGGTCATGCCCCGTGATCCCAGCAGGATCCTCTCACCTATGCCACCTGAGGCCACAGGCCCACCTGGCAGAAGAGCTCACTGAAAGACACAGAGGAGAAAGGGGCTCAGGGAGGAATCAGCAGCTGCCCCGTCCCCAGGGAACCAGAGTGCCAACACCAAACCTGCACATGGAGCCTGGGCTGCCACATGGAGGAATGCAGAGATAGGGTTGGGCACCCTGGGGATGCCCTTCAGGGCCTCAAGGACTCACAGATGTGCTCACCAAGCTCAGTGCGGGACACCAGGGCACCAGGAAAGGCCTGAGCTTCAGCACAGCAAGGGCTGGGCACGTGGCTGACCACCACTCACCAAGGTCCAGTAGGGCCCAATGAAAGTCTTCCTTCAGTCTCACCATCTAGAGGACAGAAGGTGGACATGTGTCGAAATGGAACCTCACACCTCCACGCAGGGAAGGGTGTGGGGAGGTGCCTGCTCATGCCTACTCTCATGTGATGTGAAACCTTGACATGTCATGGACATAGGGGAACCCTGGCCCTCCCCACGACTGAACCCTGGAAGGACAGGGCAGGCGGGTCACTGGGCTTGGGCAAGCTGCCCTGGCTTTGCCCTACTGCAGGTACCTTGAGCATCTCAACTGCCCACGAAAGTTGACTTGCACGACCCCAGGAATGTGCTGTCCCCTGGGTGTGGGCCAGGGCCACCTACCATCTCACGCCCAACCAAGGAGGCTGGCCTGGATGTCAGGTGCTGCTGAACTGGCAGTCGCACAGCCTGCCCCTGTGTGTGGAGGGCGAGCACCCACAGCCCGCTGTACAACACACCAGAAATCACAGCCTGGGGCCCCAGGGCCTCATAGATTCTCTGGTGGGTCCCCATCCCTTCCCCATACAACACCTCCCACACACAGAGCAGGCCACACTCAGCCAATCAGGGGACACGTGATGTCTTCTCCTTTCGAAGACCCCACTCCCCTGGAGATGACCCCAAGACTCAGAAGCAGCCTGGATGGAAAATTTCTGCCACAGGTCCTTCCACAGCGGGCCTTCCACCTGTCCACCTCAGGAGGACACCACACTGCCAGTCACCCATAGGGAAGAGATGACCCCCAGTGGGACATGGGCTGTAACCTTGGCCCAAAGCCCAAAACTCCCAGCACCATCAGGCGCCAGCCAGAGCTAGTCCTGAGCCAATCTCAGGGAAACAGCGCCGTCCCACACTTGGCTCAAACAGGCACCAATGGGATGGCCCATGGCTTAATATGTTTGGTCCCATTCAAGGCCATAGGTTTTGTGCAATGCTTGAAAATCGGCAGCCCGACCCCATGGGCTGAATCACACACCCCACCCCAAGGTCGGAGAGCCCCTGACCCTTGTGGCACCCTGGATCCCTTGTGGCCACTCTCATATGGCGTGGCCGTCCTAGGGGCCTGACCTGAGCACTGAGTCTTAGTGGGGCACTGCCCTGCGTGGGGCTGAGAAAACCCTTTACTGCCTGGACCATTCAGGGAAGGTATCCTCCTTGGATCTGATTCCCAAGGAAGCCTCTCTCCTGGAGGATCCATCCTAGGCCAGGATTCAGGTCAGCTCCTGAGGAAACCCTTGTGGCTGAGGGGTGACCCTTGGCAAAGCCATACAGCCTGGCTAATGGCCCGTGACCCCAGCAGGATCCACTCACCTATGCTGGTCAATGCCAGGGACTCTGCTGGATAGAAGAGCTGACTGAAAGACACAGAGGAGAATGGGGGCTCAGGAAAGACCCAGCAAGGTGCCCTGTCCCCAAGTAACAGGAGCGCCCACACCAAGCCCCAATAGTGAGATTGGGCTGCCTCAAGGAGGAGCAGAGACAGTGTTGGGCACCCCCAAGATGCTGTTCAGAGCCTTGAGGTCTCTAGCCCAAAATACAGTAGTCCTGCAGGGGACTCTAAAATCCCAGCATACTCTTCCAAAAGTCTCACCTAGGCTGGGCCTCAGCGTAATCCTATTGAGCATGATTTTTAAGTCATCACCTCTCTTCAGGACAATATAAGTTTCTCATCATTGACCCAACCCAGGACACCCCCCTCCCCGCGGATGCATCTAGCAGGACCCGGATGTGCTCACCACAGCTCAGGGAAGGACATCAGGGCGCTGGGAAGGGCCCGAGCTTCAGTGCACCAAGGGCTGGGCACCTGACTGACGATCACTCATCCAGGGCCAGCAGGGCCCAATGAAAGTCTTCCTCCAGTCTCACCATCTAGGGGACAGTAGGTGGACATGTGTCGAAATGGAACCTGATACCTCCACGTGGGGAAGGGGGATGGAGGGTGCCAGCTCCTGCCTGCTTTCCCACCTTGGGCCCATGTGATGGGATCTTTGTGAAACACTGATATATCATGGACATGGGGGAACCTTGGCCCTTTCCACCACCGAATCCTGGAAGGACAGGGCAAGCGGGTCACTGTGCTTGGGTAAAACGCCCTGGCTGTGCCCTACTGCTGGCACTTGAGCACCTCCACTGCCCACAGCAGTGGCCTCACACAACCCAGGACTCTACTGGCCCCCAGCGTGTGAGCCAGAGCCACCTACTATCTCACGGGCAACCAAGGAGGCTGGCCCGGATGCCATGTGCTGCCAATCTGGCAGTCACACAGCCTGCCCTTGTGTGTGGAGGGCGAGCACCCATGTCCCACTTAACACACAGGAAATCGCACCCTAGGTCTCCAGGGCCTTGTGGGTTCTCTGGTGGGTCCCCATCCATGCCCCATACAACACCTCCCACACACAGAGCAGGCCACACTCAACAATTCAGGAAACACATGATATCTTCTTTCCTTGGGCCAAGACCCATGCCCCCCTGGAGATGACCCCATGGCACAGAGCCAGCCTGGATGGAAAATTTCCGGGATGGGCCATTCCATAGCAGGCCCTCCCACCTCAGGAGGGCACCCTTCCCACCACCTTCCCACCACTCGCCCACACGGAAGAGATGGCCCCCAGTGGGATATGGGCTACTCCCTTGGCAAAGGCCCACAAGTCCCAGGGCCAGACTGCAGCACCATCAGGCACCAGCCAGACCTAGTCTGGAGGCAGCCTCAGGGAAACAGCGCCGGCCCCTCACTTGGCTCAAAGAGACACCACTAGGATGGCCCATTGCTTAATAGGGTTGGTGTCATTCAGGGCCATGGGTTTGGTGTGATCCTTGAAGATCCATCACCCAGCCCCATGGGTTGAATTGCATACACCTCTCCACGGTTGAAGTGAGCCACAAGACCCCCTTGGTGCCCTGGAGCCCATGTGGCCGCCTCATGTGTCCTGGCCATCCTAGAGCCCTGACCTGAGCACTGAGTCTTAGCGCGGCGTTATTTGTGTGGGCCTGAAGAAACCCTTTACTGCCTGGACCACTGTCACCCCGCAGGGCTTCTGGGCTTCAGGGAAGGCATCCTCCTTGGATCTCATTCCCAAGGAAGACACTCTCTTGAACAACCCATCCCACGAGGGGATTCAGGTCACCCCTTAAGGACCCCGGTGGCTGAAGGGTGACCCTCAAAACCCACACAGCCTGGCTCATGGCCATGACCCCGGCAGGGTCCACTCACCTATGCAGCTCAATGCCAGGGACTCTGCTGGGCGGAAGAGCTCACTGAAAGACACAGGGGAGAATGGGGGCTCAGGAAGGAGCCAGCAAAGTACCCCAACCCCAGGAAACGGGGGCACTGACACCAAGCCCACATAGTGAGCCTGGTATGCCTGATGGAGGAGCACAGAGACAGGGTTGGGCCCCCTCCAGATGCCCTTGAGAGCCTCCAGGTCTCGAGCCCAAAATACAGTGGTCCTGCCAGGGAACTCCTAATTCCCAGCATCCTCTTCAAAATTCTCAACTAGGCTGGGCCTCAGCGTAATCCTATTGAGCATGCTTTTTAAGTCATCACCTCTCTTCAGGACAATATAAGGTTCTCATCATTGACCCAACCCAGGGCACCTCCTCCCCCAACACACTTCCAGCAGGATCTGGATATGCTCACCAAGCTCAATGCAGGAGACCAGGATGCCAGGAGGGCCCCTGCTTCAGCTCATCAGATGCTGGGCACCTGGCTGATGGCCACTGGCCTGGGACCAGCAGGCTCAAAGCAAAACTTCCTATGGGCTCACCATCTGGAGGGAGTGGAGACAGGCAGGTGTTTACACAGGCCCTCATGCCTCCATGTGGGAAAGCGGGGAGGGGTGCTGGCTCACACATGCTCTCCCTTCATGGACCCATATGATGGAATCTATATGAAATAATGACGGTCATGGACCCAGGGAAACCTTGGCCCTCACCAACCACCGAACCCTGGAAGGACAGGGTAGGTGGGTCACTGGGAACGGGCAAGATGCCCAGGCTGCGTGTTACTCAGGCCCCTGGAGCATGTCCACTGCCCATGCTGGCTCCACTGCACGACCCTGGACCACAACAGAAATCCTGGGCAGGAGCAGAAGCCACCAACCAGCTTATGGCCAATAAAGGAGCCTGGCCCTGAAGCCAGGTGCTGCTGCCAACCTGGCTGTCACACAGCCTTCCCCTGTACACCAGCCCAGGCTCCCTCTCCAAGCACATACCAGAAATCACAGCCTGGGGCCCAGGGCCACCTGCTTTCTCTCGTGGGTCCTCATCCACACCCCAGACACCTGCAAAACACAGAGCTGTGCCACATTCAATCAGAAGCCACATGGTGCCCTCTCCTTTCCTTGTGTCCAAGACCTCCCCGCCCTGGAGGTGACCTCATGGCTCAGAAGCAGCCTGTGTGACAAATTTCCGGGGCAAGTCCCTCATGAGGGGGCCTTCTAATCTCGGGATGCCACCCCTCCTGTCATTGACCTCCAAGAAGGGATGTCCTCCAGCGGCAGGTAGGCTGCACCCTTGCCCAAAGCCCATGAGTGCCAAGGCTGGCCTGAGCACCACGAAGCACCAGCCATGGCTTAGCCTTGAGCCAACCTGTTGAAACCATGCTGCCACCCACCAAGCGCAAGAAGGCACCACTGGGATGGCCCACTGCTTAACAGGGTCGGTCCCATTCAGGGCCATGAGTGGCACGCAATCCTTGAATCTCCACAGCCCAACCCCATGGGCCTGATAACCTACCCCTCTGTGAGATGAAGGGCCCCTCTGTGATCCCCTTGGCACCCCGAAGCCCCTGTGTTACCACTCATTTGTCCTGGGCGGTCTTCAAAGACAGGCCTACACACCTAGTCTCAGCTGGGAGCTGCCCTGCGCGAGACTGAAGAAACCCTTCCCAGCCTGGTCCACTGTCACCCATGCAGGGCTCCAGGGAAGGTGTCCTCCTTGGGTCAGATTCCCCAGGAAGCTGCCCTCCTGAGGACCAACATAACCCTCCTGTGGAGATTCAGGTCAACTCTCTGAGGAAACCCTCCTGTCCTCAAGTCTGATACTTGGTGACCCCATGCTGCCTGGCTCATGGCCCCTGACCCCAGCAGGATCCACTCACCTATGCTGGTCAATGCCAGGGGCTCTGCTAGGCAGAAGAGCTCACTGAAGGACACAGGGGAGAATGGGGGATCAGCAAGGAGTTACCAGAATGCCCCACCACCCGGTAATGGGAAACAGGACACCAGGCCCACATAGTGAGCCTGGGCTGCCTCATGGAGGAGCAGAGAGACAGGGTTGGGCCCCCTCCAGATGCCCTTCTGAGCCTCCAGGTCTCTAGCCCGAAATATAGTTGTCCTACCGAGGAACTCATAATTCCCAGCATCCTCTTTCAAAATTCTCACCTAGGCTGGGCCTCAGCGTAATCCTATTGAGCATGATTTTTAAGTCATCACCTCTCTTCAGAGAAATATAAGATCTCATCGTCGACCCAATGCAGGGCACTGTCCCCCACCCCCCACAAACGCATTCAATGGACCCAGTTGGGCTCACCACAGTTCTGTGCAGGAGACCACAGTGCCAGGAACGGCTTGACCTTCAGTTCACCAGGGACTGAGCACCTGGTTCAGTGACCCTGCCCTGGGGTCAGTAGGACAGATGCAAGTCTTCCTCCAGGGTCACCATCTAGAGAAGTGGGGGACAGGTGTCCAAACAGGGCCTCACGCCCTCATGCAGGAAAGTGGGCAGGGGTGCTGGCTCACACATGCTTTCTCTCCATGGACTCATGAGATGCCATCCATATAAAACAGTGACTGTCATGAAGGCAGGGAACCCTTGGCCCTACCCACGACTGAACCCTGGAAAAACAGGGCAGGCGGGTCACGTGATTCGAGCAAGACACCCAGGCTGCACCCTACTACAGGACGCTGGAGCACCTCCACTGCCCACGCCAGCGCCCCTGCCCAACTCTAGGCCACACTGGGACCACTATGCAGGGCCAGGGCCACCAACCAGCTCATGGCAAACCAAGGAGGCTGGCCTGGACGTTATGTGCCACTGCAGACCTGGCAGTCACATGGCTCCCCCCTGGGCATACAATGCATCCATCCAGGCATCCTGTACAAGCTCACACTGGAAATTGCACCCTGGGGCCTTCTCTGTGGGTTCTAATCCATGCACCACACACCTCCCAAACACAGAGCTGGGTCACGCTCGGCCAATCAGGGGCCACATGATGTCCTCTCCTTTCCTTCAGCTCAAGATCCCACTAACTGGGAGGTGACCTCATGGCTCAGAAGCAGCCTGAGCAGCAAACTGCCAGCACAGGACCCTTGACAGTGGGCCTTCCACCACCAGATACCACCCCTCCGGCCACTCCACTTTGGGGAGGGATGACCTCCAGTGGAACACCCTTGGCCCAAAGCCCACAATTCCCAGGGCCAGCCACCAGGTGCCTACCAGAGATCAGCCTTGACCCAACATCACTGAAGCCACACTGCCCCTGCCATGCTCAAGGAGGCCCCACTGGGATGGCCCACTGCTCAACAAGGTCGGTGCCATCAGGGCCATGGGATGTGTGCAATCCTTGAATCTTCACGGCCTGACTCCATAAGCCCCAAAACCCAAACTGCAAGCCTCAAGGACAGAGAGCTCTCGAATAACACCCATGGCCTCCTGGGACCCTCCAGACCCCCTTATGGCCTGGGCAGTCCCCCAGGCCTGACCCATGCACCAGGTCTCAGCTAGAAGCTACATTGCGTTGGGCTGAAGAAACCCTTTCCTGCCTGGACCTCCATTACCCCTGCAGGGCTTCAGGGAAGGTGTCCTTGAGATCAATTTCCAAGGAAGCTTCCCACCTGGAGAAACACCTGTCTCTAGTGGGTATTCAAGTTGATTCCCTAAGGAAACCCTAGTGGCCTCAGGGGTGACCCTAAGCGACCCCTTGTGGCTTGGCTCATGGCCCATGACCCCAGCAGGATCCACTTACCTATGCCGCTCAAGGCCAGGAGCCCGCCTGGACAGAAGAGTCACTGAAAGACAGGGAAGAACGGGGACTCAGAGAGAAGCCGTCAACTTGCCCTGCCCCCAGGGAACCGGAGTGCCAACACTAAGCCTGCACTGGGAGCTTGGGCTGCCACATGGAGTAGCACAGAGACAGGGTTGGACACCCATAGATGCCCCTCAGGGCTTCCAGGCCTCTAGCCCAAAATACGGTGGCCCTGCCAGGGGACTTCACAATTCCCAGCATCCTCTTCCAAAATTCTCCCCTAGGCTGGGCCTCAGCGTAATCCTATTGAGCATGATTTTTAAGTCATCATCTCTCTTCAGGACAATATGAGGTTCTCATCATTGACCCAACTGAGGACACCCTCCTCCCCGCACATGCATCCAGCGGGACCCATAGGTACTCACCAAGCTCAGTGCGGGACACCAGGACACCAGGAAGGGCCTGAGCCAAAGCACATCAAGGTCTGTGCACCTGACTGACGACTACCCGACCAGGGCCAGCAGGCCCAATGAAAGTTTTCCTTCAGTCTCACCATCTAGGGGACAGAACGTGGACAGTGTCAAAATGGAACCTCATACCTCCATAGGGGGAGGGTGTGGAGGGATGCCAGTTCAAGCCTATTCTGCCACCGTGGACCCATGTGATGGGATCCATGTGAAACACTGACATGTCATGGACACGGGGAAACCTTGGCCCTCCCCACCATCGAACCCTGGAATGACAGGGCCGGCGGGTCACTGGGTTTGGGCAAGATGCCCTGGATGCTCCCTACTGCAGGCACCTTGAGCACCTCCATCACCCACGACAGCTGCCTTGCACAACCCCATGGCTATACTGTCCCCTGGGTGCAGGTAAGGACTGCCTGCCATCTCACAGTCAACCAAGGAAACTGGCCCAGATGCCATGTGCTGCCGATCTGGCAGCTTCACAGCCTGCCCCTGCATGTGGAGGAGGAGCACCCAGGCCCCGCTCCACAAGACACCAGAAATAGCAGCCTGGGGACCCAGGGCCTTGTGTGTTCTCTGGTGGGTCCCCATCCCTGCCCCATACAACACCTCCCACACACAGAGCAGGGCCACACTCAGCCAATTGAGGGACACATGATGTCTTCTCCTTTCCTCGGGCCCAAGACCCTGGCCCCTTGGAGATGACCCCCTAGCTCAGAGGCAGCCTGGACAGAAAATTTCCGGAATAGGTCCTTCCATAGCAGGCCCTCCCACCTTAGGAGGACACCCTTCCCGCCATTCACCAACAAGGAAAAGGTGACCCCCAGTGGGATATGGGCTGCTCCCTTGGCCCAAAGCCCATGAGCCCCAGGGCTGGACTGCAGCACCATCAGGCACCGGCCAGAGCCAGTCTAGAGCCAATCTCAGGGAAACAGCGCCACCTCCAGCTTGGCCCAACGAGGCACCACTGGGATAGTCCATTGCTTAGTAGGGTTGGTGCCATTCAGGGCCATGGGTTTGGTGTGATCCCTGAAAATGCGCCACCTGACCCCATGGGCTGAATCATACACACCTCTCCAAGGTCAGAGAGGCCCAGCAAGACCGCCTTGAAGCCCCAGAGCCCTGTGGCCATTCTCATTTGGCCTGGCCTTCCTAGAGGCCTGACCTCAGCCTTCAGTCTTAGCAGGGCACTGCCCTGCGGGGGGCTGAGGAAACCCTTTACTGCCTGGACCACCAGTGGGCCACCCCTGCAGGGCGTCAGGGAAGGTATCCTCCTTGGGTCTCATTCCCAAGGAAGTTGCTCTCCTGGAGGACTCATCCCAGGTGGGGATTCAGGTCAGTTCCTGAGGGAACCCCTGTGGCTGAAGGGTGACTAACAGTTAACCCATACAGCCTGGCTCATGGCCCATGACCCCAGCAGGGTCCACTCACCTATGCTGGTCAATGTCAGGGGCTCTGCTGGGTGGAAGAGCTCACTGAAAGACACAGGGGAGAATGGGGGCTCAGGAAGGAGCCAGCAAGTTGCCCTGCCACCAGGTAACGGGAACATCAACAGCAAGCCTAGACAGTGAGCCTGGGCTGCCTCATGGAGGAGCGCAGAGACAGGGTTGGATACCCTCAAGATCCTGTTCAGGGCCTTGAGTCTCCAGTCCAAAATACGGTGGTTCTGCTAGGGACACAAAAATCCGAGCATCTTCTTCGAAAATTCTCCCCTGGGCTGGGCCTCAGCGTAATCCTATTGAGCACGATTTTTAAGTCATCACCTCTCTTCAGAACAATATAAGGTTCTTATCATCGACCCAACCCAGGGCACTGACCCAGTCCCCACACATGCATCCAGTGGGACCTGGATGGGCTCACCAAAGCTCAGTACAGGAGTCCAGGGTGCCAGGAAAGGCCTGAGCTTCGGCACACCAGGGACTGAGGGCCACGGGCCTGGGGTCAGCAAGCTACATGCAAGTCTTCCTCTGGGGTCACCATCTGGAGGGATGGGGGACAGGTGTCCAAACAGGGCCTCACGCCTCCATGCAGGGAAGTGGGCAGGGGTGCCGGCTCACACATGCTCTCTCTCTCTGGACTCATGAGACGGGATCCATGTAAAACAGTGACGGTCATGATCATGGGGAACCCTTGGCCCTCCCTGCCACTGAACCCTGGAAGGAAAGGGCAGGTGGGACAGGGGATTCAAGCAAGACACCCAAGCTGCACCCTACTGCAGGCCCCTGGAGCACCTCCACTGCCCATGCCAGTTCCCCAGCATGAGTCTGGGCCACACTGGGATCACTGGGCAGCCTGTGCCAGGAGTTCCAGATGAGCCTAGCAGCTGGGTTCAAGTATCCACCAACCAACTCACGGCAAACCAAAGAGGCTGGCCTGGATGCCAGGTGGCACTGTAGACCTGGTAGTCGCATGGCCTGCCCCTGGGCATGGAATGTACCTGTCCAGGAGCACTCTACAAGCTCACACCAGAAATTGCATCCTGGGTCCCCAGGGACACGTGCCTTCTCTGGTGGGTCCCCATTCATGTATCACACACCTCCCAAACACAGAGCTGGGCCACGCTTGGCCAATCAGTGGCCACACAGTATCCTCTCCTTTCCTTTGGCTCAAGACCCCACCAACCTGGAGGTGACCCCATGAGCCAGAAACAGCCTGGGCAACAAAGTGCCAGCCCAGGACCCTTGACAGTGAGCCTTCAACCACAGGATGCCACCCTTGTGGCCACTCCACTTTGGGGAGGGATGACCTCCAGCAGAACACAGGCTGCACCTTGGCCCAAAGTCTACGATTCCCAGGGCCAACCATCAGGTGACTCCCAGAGCTCAGCCTTAACCCAACACCAGTGAGGCCACACTGCCCGTACCATGCTCAAGGAGACACCACTGGGATGGCCCATTGTTCAAAAGGGTCAGTCCCATTCAGGGTCATCGGTTGAGCCTGACACTTGAATCTTCACAGCCTGACTCCATAAGTCCGATCACCCTGTCCCCCACAAGCCTCAGGGACGGAGAGCTCCCGTATAACACCCATAACCCCTGAAGACCCTGTGGACCCCCTCACATGGCCTGGCCGGTCCTCCAAGCCTGACCCATGCACCAAGTCTCAGCTACAAGCTGTAATGTGTTGGGTTTAAACAACCGTTTCCTCCCTGGACCTCCATTACCCTTGCAGGGCTTCAGGGAAGGTGTTCTTCTTGGGATCGATTTCCAAGAAAGCCGCTCTCCTGAAGAAACCATTTGTCCCTGTTGGAGATTCAGGTCAGCTCCCTAAGGAAACCCTCATGGCCTGAAGGGTGACTCCCAGCGACACCCAGTGGTCTAACTAATGGCCCATGATCCCATCAGGAGCCATTTACCTATGCAGCTCAAGACCAGGAGTCTGCCTGGGCAGGAGAGCTCACTGAAAGACACAGAGGAGAACCGGGCTCAGGGAGGAGCTGCCAACCTGCCCTGCCCCCAGGGAACTGGAGTGCCAACACCAAGCCCACACAGAGAGCCTGGGCTGCCTCATGGTGGAGCGCAGAAATAGGCTAAGCACCCCGTAGATGCCCTTCTGGGCCTCAAAGACTCCAGCCCAAAATACAGTGGCTTTGCCAGGGGACCTTGGGATCCCAGTGTCCTCTTCCAAAACTTTCACCTAGGCTGGGCCTCAGCGTAATCCTATTGAGCATGATTTTTAAGTCATCACCTCTCTTCAGGATAATATAAGGTTCTCATCATTGACCCAGTTCAGGGCACCCGCCTCCCCACACATGCATCCAGCGGGACTCAGATGTGCTCACCACAGCTCAGTGCAGGAGACCAGGGTGCCAGGTAGGGCCTGAGCATCAGCACACCAAGGGCTGGGCACCTCACTGATGACCAGTTGCCCATGGCCAAAGGGGCCAATGAAAGTTTTCCTCCAGTCTCATCTCCATGAGGGGAAGTGGTTGAGGCGGTGCCCACTTACGCCTGCTCTCCCACTGTGGACCCATGTGATTGAATCCATGTGAAACACTGACATGGCATGGATAAGGGGAAACCTTGGTCCTTCCCACCATCGAAATCCAGAAGGACGGGGCAGGTGGGTCACTGGGCTTGGGCAGGACACCCTGGCTGCGCCCCACTGCAGGCAACTTGAGCACCTCCACTGGTCATGAGAGCTGCCTCACATGACCCCAGGAGTGTATTGTCCCCCTGGTTGTGGGCCAGGACCACCTGCCATCTCATGCCCAACCAAGGAGGCTGGGCCAGGTGCCACATGCTGCCTATCTGGCAGTCACACAGCCTGCCCGTGTGTGTGGAGGGTGAGCACCCAGGCTCCACTCCACAACACAGTGGAAACTGCAGCCTGGGTCCCCAAGGCCTCGGGGGTTCTCTAATGGGTCCCCATCCATACCCCATTCAACACCTCCCACACACAGAGTGGGGCCACACTCAGCAAACCGGGGGACACATGATGCCTTCTCCTTTCCTTGGGACCAAGACCCTGCCCCCTGGAGATGACCCCATGACTCAGAAGCAGCCTGGATGGCAAATTTCCAGGACAGGTCCTTTTAGAGTGGGCCTTCCCACCACAGGAGGACACCCTTCCTGTCACTCGCCCACAAGGAAGACATGACCCCTGGTGGGACACTGGTTGTACACTCGGCCAAAGCCCACGAGTCCCAGGTGCTGGACTGCAGCACCATCAGCCGATGGCCAGAGCTAGTCCTGAGCCAATCTCAGGGAAACGGCGCCGCCCCCAACTTGGCTCAAAGAGGAACCACTGGGATGGCCCATTGCTTAATATAGTTGGTCCCATTCAGGGCCATGGGTTTGCTGCAATCCTTGAAAATCCCCAGCCCGACTCCATGGGCTGAATCGCACATACTCCTGCAAGGTTGGAGAGCCCCTGAGAGACACCCATGGTACCCTGGAGCCATGTGACCACCTCACGTGGCCTGGCCCTCGTAGAAGCGTGACCTGAGCACCGAGTATTAGTTGGGCACTGCACTGTGTAGGGCTGAGGAAACACTTCACAATCTGGACCATCGCCACCCCTGCAGGGCTTCAGGGAAGGTATCCTCCTTGGGTTTGATTCCCAAGAAAGCTGTTCTCCTGAAGAACCCATCCCAGCGGGGTTTCAGGTCAGCTCCCGAGGAAACCCTTGTGGCTGAAGGGGGACCCTCAGCAAACCCACACAGCCTGGCTCATGCCCCACGATCACAGCAGGGTCCACTCACCTGTGCTGGTTAATGTCATGGGCTCTGCTGGGCAGAAGAGCTCACTGAAAGACACAGGGGAGAATGGGGGCTCAGGAAAGAGCTGTGAAAGTGCCCTACCCCGGGAAATGGGGATACCAACACCAAGCCCACATAGTGACCCTCGGCTGCCTGATGGAGGAGCACAGACAGGGTTGGGCCCCCTCCAGATGCCCTTCAGAGCCTCCAGATCTCAAGCCCAAAATACAGTGGTCATGCCAGGGAACTCCTAATTCCCAGCATCCTCTTCAAAATTCTCAACTAGGCTGGGCCTCAGCGTAATCCTATTGAGCATGACTTTTAAGTCATCACCTCTCTTCAGGACAATATAAGGTCCTCAATATAATGACCCAACCCAGGGCACCCCCTCCCCCAACACACTTCCAGCAGGATCCGGATATGCTCACCAAGCTCAATGCAAGAGACCAGGATGCCAGGAGGGCCCCTGCTTCAGCTCATCGGATGCTGGGCACCTGGTTGATGGCCACTGGCCTGGGACCAGCAGGCTCAAAGCAAAACTTCCTATGGGCTCACCATCAGGAGGGAGTGGAGACAGGCAGGTGTTTACACAGGCCCTCATGCCTCCATGTGGGAAAGCGGGGAGGAGTGCTGGCTCACACATGCTCTCCCTTCATGGGACCATGTGATGGAATCTATATGAAATAATGACGGTCATGGACCCAGGGAAACCTTGGCCCTCACCAACCACCGAACCCTGGAAGGACAGGGTAGGCGGGTCACTGGGAACGGGCAAGATGCCCAGGCTGCGTGTTACTCAGGCCCCTGGAGCACGTCCACTGCCCATGCTGGCTCCACTGCATGACCCTGGACCACAACAGAAATCCTGGGCAGGAGCAGAGGCCACCAACCAGCTTATGGCCAATGAAGGAGCCTGGCCCTGATGCCAGGTGCTGCTGCCAACCACACAGCCTTCCCCTGTACATCAGCCCAGGCTCCCTCTCCAAGCACATACCAGAAATCACAGCCTGGGGCCCAGGGCCACCTGCTTTCTCTGGTGGGCCACACTCAGACAATCAGGAGCCACATGGTGCCCTCTCCTTTCCTTGTGTCCAAGACCCCCCCGCCCTGGAGGTGACCTCATGGCTCAGAAGCAGCCTGTGTGACAAATTCCCGGGACAAGTCCCTCATGAGGGGGCCTTCCAATCTTGGGATGCCACCCTTCCTGTCATTGACCTCCAAGAAGGGATGTCCTCCAGCGGCAGACAGGCTGCACCCTTGCCCAAAGCCCATGAGTCCCAGGGCCGGTCTGAGCACCATGAAGCACCAGCCATGGCTCAGCCTTGAGCCAACCAGTTAAAGCCATGCTTCCACCCACCAGGCGCAAGAAGGCACCACTGGGATGGCCCACTGCTCAACAGGGTCGGTCCCATTCAGGGCCATGAGTGGCACGCAATCCTTGAATCTCCACAGCCCAACCCCATGGGCCTGATAACCTACCCCTCTGTGAGATGAAGGGCCACTCTGTGATCCCCTTGGCACCCCAAAGCCCCTGTGTTACCACTCATTTGTCCTGAGTGGTCTTCAAAGACAGGCCTACACACCTAGTCTCAGCTGGGAGCTGCCCTGCGCGAGACTGAAGAAACCCTTTCCAGCCCGGTCCACTGTCACCCATGCAGGGCTCCAGGGAAGGTGTCCTCCTTGGGTCAGATTCCCCCAGGAAGCTGCCCTCCTGAGGACCAACATAACCCTCCTGTGGAGATTCAGGTCAACTCTCTGAGGAAACCCTCCTGTCCTCAAGTCTGATACTTGGTGACTCCATGCAGCCTGGCTCATGGTCCCTGACCCCAGCAGGATCCACTCACCTATGCTGGTCAATGCCAGGGGCTCTGCTGGGTAGAAGAGCTCACTGAAAGACACAGGGGAGAATGTGGGCTCAGGAGGGAGTCACCAAAATGCCCCACCACTGGGTAATGGGAAACAGGACACCGAGCCCACATAGTAAGCCTGAGCTGCCTCACGGAGGAGCAGAGAGACAGGGTTGGGCCCCCTCCAGATGCCCTTCTAAGCCTCCAGGTCTTTAGCCCAAAATACTCAGTTGTACCAAGGAACTCGTAATTCCCAGCGTCTTCTTTCAAAATTCTCACCTAGGCAGGGCCTCAGCGTAATCCTATTGAGCATGATTTTTAAGTCATCACCTCTTTTCGGAGAAATATAAGGTTCTCATCATCGACCCAACGCAGGGCACCCCCCTCCCCACACATGCATCCAGCGGGACATAGATGTGCTCACCAAGCTCAGTGCAGGACACCAGGGCACCAGAAAGGGCCCGAGCTTCAACCCATCAGGTACTGAGCACCTGGCTGAGGGACATGGGTCCAGGGCCAGTGGGACAGATGCAAGTCTTTCTCCAGGGTCACCATCTGGAGGGGCGAGGGACAGGTGTCCAAACGGGGCCTCACACCTCCACCCAGGAAAGGGGGCAGGGGTGCTAGCTCACATATGCTCTCTCTCCATGAACTCATGAGATAGGATCCATGTAAAACAGTGACAACCATGAACGTGGGGAACCCTTGGCTCTCCCTGTGACTGAAACTCTGGAAAAACAGGGCACTAGGTCATAGGACTCAAGCAAGACGCCCAGGCTGTACCCTACTGCAGGCCACAGGAGTATCTGGGCTGCCCGGGATTACCTGGCAGGGCCAGCGCCACCAACAAGGTCATGGCAAACCAAGGAGGGTGGCCTGGATACCAGGTGCTGCTGCAGACCTGGCAGTCACATAGCCCACCATTCCCAAGGCCACCACCAGGTGACTGCCAGAGATCAGCCCTGACCCAACCCCACTGAGGCCATGCTGCCCCCACCATGCTTAGGGAGGCACCACTGGGATGGCCCATTGCTCAACAGGATCAGTACCATTCAGGGCCATGCGTTGAGCCTGACAGTTCAATCTTCTTGGTCTGACTCCATAAGCCTGATCACCCACACCCTGCCCCCTACAAGCTCAGGGATGGGGAGTTCCCGCATAACACCTATAATCCCCAAAGGTACTATGGACCCCTTATGTGACCTGGGCAGTCCTCCAGAATGACCCACGCATCAAGTCTCACCTAGGAGCTGCACTGCGTTGGGCTGAAACAACCCTTTCCTGCCTGGACCTCCATTATCCCTACAGGGCTTCAGGGAAGGTGTCCTTCTTGGGATCAATTTCTAAGGAAGCCACCCTCCTGGAGAAACCATCCATCCCTGGTAGGAATTCAGGTCAGCTCTCTTAAGAAAATCCTCATGGCCTGAAGTGTAATCCTCAGCAACCCCTCAACTGTTGAACGGCTCATGGGCCATGACCCCAGCAGGATCCACTCACCTATGCTGCTCAAAGACAGGAGTCCACCTAGGCAGAAGAGCTCAATGAAAGACACAGAGAACAGGGCTCAGGGAAGAGCTGCCAACCTGCCCTGCCCCCAGAGAACTGGAGTGCCAACAACAGGCCCACTCAGGGATACTGGGCTGCGACACAGAGGAGCGCAGAGACAGGGTTGGGTACCCCAGAGATGCCCTTCAGAGCCTCACGGACTCCAGCCCAAAATGTAGTGGCCCTGCCAGGGGACCTTGGGATCCCAGTGTCCTCTTCCAAAATTCTCACCTAGGCTGGGCCTCAGCGTAATCCTATTGAGCATGATTTTTAAGTCATCACCTCTCTTCAGGACAATATAAGGTTCTCATCATTGACCCAACCTAGGACACCCCCCTCCCCATGGATACATCCAGTGGGACCCAGATGTGCTCACCACAGCTCAGTGCTGGACACCAGGACGCTGGGAAGGGCCTGAGCTTCAGCGCACCAAGGGCTGGACACCTGGCTGACGACCAGTCGTCCAAGACCAGTGGGCCCAGTGAAAGATTTCCTTGGTCTCACCATCTAGGGGACAAAAGGTGGACATGTGTCAAAATGGAACCTCATGCCTCTATGCCAGGAAGTGGGGGGGAGGTGCTGCTGACACCTGCTATCCCGCCGTGGACCCATGTGATGGGATCCATGTGAAATGCTGACATGTCATGGAAATGGGGGATCCTTGGCCCTTCCCACCATCAAACCCTGGAAGGACAGGGCAGGTGCGTCACTGGGGTTGTGCAAGACGCCCTGGCTGCGCCCTATTGTCGTCACCTAAGCACCTCCACTGCCCACAACAGCAGCCTCACACAACTCAATGGTTGTACTGCTCTCCTGGGTGTGGACAAGGCTGCCTACCATCTCACGGCCGACCAAGACTGGTTTCGGATTCCATGCACTGCCCATCTGGCAGTCGCACAGCCTGACTCTGTGTGTGTGGAGGGCGAGCACCCAGGCCCCGCTCCACAACACAGCAGAAATCGTAGCCTGAGGCCTCAGGGCTTCGTGTGTCCTCTGTTGGGCACCATCCATGCTCCATTCAACACCTCCCACGCAGAGTGGGTCACACTCAGCCAATCAGGGGACACACGATGTCTTCGCCTTTTTTTGGACCTCAAACCTTGCACCCGTGGAGATAATCCCTTGACTTGGAGGCAGCCTACACAGAGAATTTCTGGGACAGGTCGTTCTATAGTGGGCTTTTCCACCTCAGGAGGACACCATTCGAGCCACTTGCTCACAAGGAAGAGGTGATCCCCAGTGGGACACCGGCTGCACCCTTGGCCCGAAGCCCACGAGTCCCAGGGCCAGACTGCAGCACCATCAGCCACCAGCCAGAGTTAGTCTAGAGCCAATCTTGGGGAAACAGTGCCGCCCCCCACTTAACTCCAGGAGGCACCACGGGGATGGCCCACTGCTTAATAGAGTCGGTGCCATTCAGGGCCATGGGTTTGGTGTGATCCTTGAAAATTTGTCACCCGAACCCATGGACTGAATCCCATACACCTCTCCGAGGTCGGAGAGCCCCCTCATGTGGCCTGGCCATCCTAGAGACCTGACCTGAGCGGGGCGTTGCCCTGTGTGGAGCTAAGGAAACCCTTTACTGCCTGGACCACTGCCACCCCTGCAGGGCTTCAGGGAAGGTATCCTCACTGGGTCTCATTCCCAAGGAATCCTCTCTCCTGGAGAACCCATCCCAGTGGGGATTCAGGTCAGCTTCTGAGGAAACCCTTGTGGCTGAAGGGGGACCCTCAGCAAACCCACACAGCCTGGCTCATGGTGCATGACCCCAGCAGGGTCCACTCACCTGTGCTGGTCAATGCCAGGGGTTCTGCTGGGCCGAAGTGCTCACTGAAACGCACAGGGGAGAATGGGGGCTGAGGAAGAAGCCGCCAAAGTGACCAACCCCCGGGTAATGGCAGCAATGACGTGGAGCCCTCACAGTAAGCCTGGGCTGCCTCATGGAGGTGTGCAGAGACAGGGCTGGGCACCCTCCAGATGCCCTTCAGAGCCTCCAAATCTCTAGCCCAAAATGCAGTGGTACTGTCAGGGAACTCCTAATTCCCAGCATCTTCCTCCTAAATTCTCACCTAGGTTGGGCCTCAGCGTAATCCTATTGAGCATGATTTTTATGTCATCACCTCTCTTCAAGACAACATAAGGTTCTCATCATTGACCCAACCTAGAGCACCCCTCACCCCAAGCATGGATCCAGTGGGACCCAGCGTCGTCTTCCAAAATTCTCCCCTCGGCTGGGCTTCAGCGTAATCCTATTGAGCATGATTTTTTAAGTCATCACCTCTCTTCAGGACAATATAAGGTTCTCATCATTGACCCAACCCAGGGTGCCTCCTCCCCACACACGCATCCAGTGATACGCAGATGTGCTCACCAAGCTCAATGTAGGAGACCAGGAGCCAGGAGAATCCAAGTTTCAGCTCACTGGGGGTTAGGCACCTGGCTGATGGCCACTGGCCTGGGGTCAGCGGGCTCAACACAAGTCTTCCTCTGGAGGGAGGAAGTCCATCATCTGCAGGGATGGGGGACAGGATTTTAAATAGAGTCTCACACCTCCATGCGGGAAAACGGGGAGGGGGTGCTGGCTCACACATGCTCTCCCTCCATGGACCCATGTGATGGGATCTATAAGAAATAATGACCTTCATGGACCCAGGGAACCCCTAGCACTCCCTGCCACTGAACCCTGGAAGGGAAGGGTAGGCGGGTCACTAGGCTTGGGCAAGAAGCCTGGGATGTGCCCTACTGCAGGCCCCTGAAGCACCTCCACTGCCCATCCTGGCTCCACTGCATGACCCTGGACCACAACAGAAACCCTGGGTAAGAGCTGAGGCCACCAACCAGCTAATGGCAAAACAAGAAGCCTGGCCCTGATGCCAGGTGCTGCTGCCAACCTGGCTGTCACACAGCCTTCCCCTGTACACCAGCCCAGGCTCCCTCTCCAAGCACATACCAGAAATCGCAGCCTGGGGCCCAGGGCCACCTGCTTTCTCTGGTGGGTTCTCATCCACACCCCAGATACCTGCCAAACACAGAGCTGGGCCACACTTGGCCAATCAGGAACCACATGGTACCCTCTCCTTTTCTTTGGCCTAAGACCTGGCCACCATGGAGGTGACCCCCATGGCTCAGAAGCTGCCTGGGCAACAAATTGCCGGGTCAGGTCCCTCATGAAGGGGTCTTCCAATCTCAGGATGCCACCCTTCCCGTCATTGACCTCCAAGAAGGGATGAGCCCCAGCGGCAGACAGGCTACACCCTTGCCCAAAGCCCATGAGTCCCAGGGCCGGCCTGTGCACCATGAAGCACCAGCCATGGCTCAGCCTTGACCCAACCAGTTGAAGCCACGCTGCCATCCACCAGGCGCAAGAAGGCACCACTGGGATGGTCCACTGCTCAACAGGGTCGGTCCCATTCAGGGCCAAGAGTGGCACGCAATCCTTGAATCTCCACAGCCCGACCCCATGGGGCTGATCGCCCAGCCCTCTCCAGGATGGACAGTCTCTGTGATCGTCATGGGACCCCCGAGCCCCTGCTGTCCTGATTATTTTTCCTGACCAGTCCTCAAGGACAGACATGCATACAGAGTCTCAGCTGGGAGCTACCCTGCGTGAGACTGATGAGACCCTTTCCAGCCTGGTCCACCATCACCCCTGCAGGGCTTCAGGGAAGGCGTTCTTTGTGGGCCAGATTCTCAAGGAAGCCACACTCCTGGAAGACCAACCCACCTATCCATGGTGGGGATTCAGGTCAACTCTCTGAGGAAACCCTCCTGTCCTGACGTCTGATACTTGGTGAACCCATGCTGCCTGGCTCATGGCCCCTGACCCCAGCAGGATCCACTCACCTATGCAGGTCAATGCCAGGGGCTCTGCTGGGCAGAAGAGCTCTCTGAAAGGCACAGGGGAGAATGGGGGCTCAAGAAGGAGTTGCCAGAATGCCCCACCACTGGGTAATGGGAAAGAGGACACCAAGCCCACATAGTGAGCCTGGGCTGCCTCACAGAAGGGCACAGAGACAGGCTTGGGCACCCCGAGATGCCCTTCAGAGCCTACAGGTCTCTAGCCCAAAATACAGTGGCCCTGCCTGGGAACTCGTAATTCCCAGCATCCTCTTTCAAAATTCTCACCAAGGCTGGGCCTCAGCGTAATCCTATTGAGCATGATTTTTAAGTCATCACCGCTCTTCAGGACAATATAAGGTTCTCATCATTGACCCAACTCAGGGCACCCCCCACCACACACATGCATGAGTGGGACCCGGACGTGCTCACCACAGCTCACTGCAGGAGACCAGGGTGCCAGGAAAGGCCTGAGCTTCAGCACACCAAGGGCTGGGCACCTGGATGATGAACACTCGCCCAGGTTCAGTGGGCCCAACAAAAATTTTCCTCCAGTCTCACCATCTAGGAGACAGTAGGTCAACATGTGTCCATATGGAACCTCACCCCTCCATTTTGGGAGGGGGCGGGGAGGTGCTGCTCATGCCTGCTCTCCCACCATGGACCCATATATGATGGGATCTTTGTGAACCACTGACATGTCATGGACGCGGCGGAACCTTGGCCCTCCCCACCATAGAACCCTGGAAGGAAAAGGCAGGTGGGTCATTGGGCATGAGCAAGACGCCCTTGATGCTCCCTACTGCAGGCACCTTGAGCACCTCCACTGCCCCCACCAGCTGCCTCACCCGAACCCAGGGATGTGCTGTTCCCCTGGGTGTGGGCCAGGGCCACCTACCATCTCACGGCCAACCAAGGAGGCTGGCCCGGACGCATGCCAGGCACTGCAAATCTGGCAGTCACACAGCCTGCCCGTGTGTGGAGGGTGAACACCCAGGCCCTGCTCCACAACACACTAGAGATCACAGCCTGGGGCCGCAGGGCCTTGTAGGTTCTCTGGTGGGTCCCAATCCATGCCCCATAAAATACCTCCCACACACAGAGCGGGGCCACACTCAGCCAATCAGGGGACACATGATGTCTTCTCCTTTCCTTGGGCCTAAGACCCTGCCCCCTGGAGATGACCCCATGACTCAGAGGCAGCTTGTATGGAAAATTTCTGGAACAGGTCCTTCCACAGTGAGCCCTCCAACTTCAGGAGGACACCCTTCCCGTCACTTGCCCACCAGGAAGAGGTGACCCCCAGTGGGACACTGGCTGTACACTTGGCAAAAACCCAGGAGTCCCAGGGCTGGACTGCAGCACCATCAGCCGCTGGCCGGAGCTAGTCTAGAGATAATCTCGGGGAAACAGTGCCGTACCCCACTTGGCTTAAAGAGCACCAATGGGATGGCCCACAGATTAATATGGTTGGTCCCATTCAGGGCCATGGGTTTGGTGCAATCCTATAAAATCTGCAGCCCAACCCCATGGGCTGAATTGTACATCCCTCTCCAAGATTGGAGAGCCCCCACAAGAACCTCTTGGCCATCCTGGAGCCCTTGTGATCCCCTCATGTGGTCTGGCCATTCTAGAGGCCTGACCTGAGCACTGAGTCTTAGTGGGGCACTGCCCTGCATGGGGCTGAGGAAACCTTTTACTGCCTGGACCACTGCCACCTCTGCAGGGCTTCAGGGAAGGTATCCTCCTTGGGTCTGATTCGCAAGGAAGCCTCTCTCCTGGAGGACCCATCCCAGTGGGGTTTCAGGTCAGCTCCCGAGGAAACCCTTGTGGCTGAAGGGGGACCCTCAGCAAACCCACACAGCCTGGCTCATGCCCCATGACCCCAGCAGGATCCACTTACCTGTGCTGGTTAATGTCATGGGCTCTGCTGGGCAGAAGAGATCACTGAAAGACACAGGGGAGAATGGGGGCTCAGGGAAGAGCTGTGAAAGTGCCCTACCCCGGGAAACGGGGGCACTGACACCAAACCCACATAGTGAGCCTGGTATGCCTGATGGAGGAGCACAGAGACAGAGTTGGGCCCCCTCCAGATGCCCTTGACAACCTCCAGGTCTTGGGCCAAAAATACAGTGGTCCTGCCAGGGAACTCCTAATTCCCAGCATCCTCTTCAAAATTCTCAACTAGGCTGGGCCTCAGCGTAATCCTATTGAGCATGATTTTTAAGTCATCACTTCTCTTCAAGACATGTAAGTTTCTCATCATTGACCCAACCCAGGGCACCCCTCCCCACACACACAGCCAGTGGGATCCGGATGTGCTCACCAAGCTCAATGCAGGAGACCAGGATGCCAGGAGGGCCCCAGCTTCAGCTCATCGGACGCTGGACACCTGGCTGACGGCCACTGGTCTGGGGCCAGCAGGCTCAAAGCAAAACTTCCTAATGGGCTCACCATCTGGAGGGAGTGGAGACAGGCAGATGTTTACACAGGTCCTCATGCCTCCATGTGGGAAAGCAGGGAGGGGTGCTGGCTCACACATGCTCTCCCTTCATGGGCCCATGTGATGGAATCTATATGAAATAATGACGGTCATGGACCCAGGGAACCCTTGGCCCTCACCAACCACCGAACCCTGGAAGGACAGGGTAGGCAGGTCACTGGGCACGGGCAAGATGCCAAGGCTATGTGCTACTGCAGGCCCCTGGAGCACGTCCACTGCCCATGCTGGCTCCACTGCACAATCCTGGACCACAACAGAAATCGTGGGCAGGAACAGAGGCCACCAACCAGCTTATGGCCAATGAAAGAGTCTGACCCTGATGCCAGGTGCTGCTGCCACCCTGGCTGTCACACAGCCTTCCCCCGTACATCAGCCTAGGCTCCCTCCCCAAGCCACACCATAAATCACAGCCTGGGGCCCAGGGCCACCTGCTTTCTCTGGTGGGTCCCCATCCACACCCCAGACACCTATCAAACACAGAGCTGGGCCACACTCAGACAATCAGGAGCCACATGGTGCCCTCTCCTTTTCTTGGGCCCAACATTCTGCCACCCTAGAGGTGACCCCCTGGCTCAGAAGCTGCCTGGGCAACAAATTCCCGAGACAGGTCCCTCATGAAGGGGCCTTCCAACCTCAGGATTCCACCCTTCCTGCCACTGGCCTCAAAGAAGGGATGACCCCCAGCGGCAGGTGGGCTGCACCCTTGCCCAAAGTCCATGAGTCCCAGGGCCGGCCTGGGCACCACGAAGCACCAGCCCTGACTCAGCTTTGACCCGACCAGCTAAAGCTGCGCTGCCACCCACCAGCCTCAAGAAGGCACCACTGGGATGGCCCACTGCTCAACAGGGTCTGTCCCATTCAGGGCCACGAGTGGCATGCAATCCTTGAATCTCCACAGCCCGACCCCATGGACCTGATCGCCCAGCCCTCTCAAGGATGGAGAGCCCCTCTGTTCCCCGTGGGACCCCAAAGCCCCTGTTGTCCCACTTGTTTTTCCTGAGCAGTCCTCAAGGATAGACGTGCACACCATGTCTCAGCTAGGAGTTGCCCTGAGTGAGACTGAGGAGACCCTTTCCAGCTTGGTCCACGGTCACCCCTCCAGGGCAGGGCTTCAGGGAATGCGTTCTCATTGGGTCAGATTCTCAAGGAGGCCAACCCATCCCTCTACAGTGGGGATTCAGATCAACTCCCCGAGGAAACCCTCCTGTCCTTAAGTCTGATATTTGGTGACCCCACGCTGCCTGGCTTATGACACATGACTCCAACAAGATCCACTCACCTACGCAGGTCAATGCCAGGAGTTTTGCTGGGCGGAAGAGCTCACTGAAAGACATAGGGGAGAATGGGGCTCAGGAAGAAGTTGCTAATGTGCCCTGTCCCCGAGTAATGGCAGTGAGGACACCAAGCCCAGATAGTGAGTCTGGGTTGCCTCACGAAGGAGCAAAGACAGGCATGGGCACCCTCGAGATGCCCTTCAGAGCCTCCAGGTCTCTAGCCCAAAATACAGGGGCCCTGCAGGGAAACTCTTAATTCCCAGCATCCTCTTCCTAAATTCTCCCCTAGGCTGGGCCTCAGCGTAATCCTATTGAGCGTGATTTTTAAATCATCACCTCTCTTCAGGACAATATAAGGTTCTCATCATTGACCCTACCCAGGGTACCCCCCCAACCCACAGGCATGGATCCAGTGGGAATCAGATGTGCTCACCACAGCTTAGCAGGAAACGCGGGTGCCAGGAAAGGCCTGAGCTTTGGCTCACCAGGGTCTGAGCACCTGGCTCAGGGACACTGCCTAAGGCCAGCGGGCCAGATGCAAATCTCCCTCCAGGGTCACCATCTGGAGCAGTGTGGGACTGGTATGCAAAGAGTGCCTCATGCCTCCATGCAGGAAAGTGAGCCTGGGTGCTGGCTCACACATGCTCTCTTTTCATGGACTCATGAATGGGATCCATGTAAAACAGTGATGGTCATGAATGCGGGGAACCCTTGGCCTTCCCTGCGACTGAACCCTGGAAGGATAGGGCAGGCAGATCACAGAATTTGGGAAAGACACCCAGGCTGCACTCTACTGCAGGCCTCTGGAGCACCTCCACTGACCACGCCAGCACCACCGCACGACTCTGGGCCACACTGGCACCACTGGACAAGGCCAGGGCCACCAACCAGCTCACGGCAAATCAAAGAGGCTGGCCTGGATGCCATGTGTCACTGCAGACCTGGCAGTCACATGAATGCACCCGTCCTGGTACTCTCTACAAGCTCACAACAGAAATCGCATCATAGGGCTCCAGGACCACATGCCTTCTCTGGTGGGTCCCAATTTATGTACTGCACACCTCCCAAACACAGCGCTAGGCCATGCTCAGCCAATCAGGGACCATATGACGTCCTTTCCTTTCTTTTGGCTCAAGATCCCACCACCTTGGAGGTGACCCCATGGGTCAGAAACAGCCTGGGTAGCAAATTGCCAGCCAAGGACCCTTGACAGTGAGTCTTCCACCACAGGATGCCACCCTTCTGGCCACTCCACTTTGGAGGGATGACCTCCAGTGGAACACAGGCTGCACCCTTGGCCCAAAATCCATGATTCCCAGGGCCAACCACCAGGTGACTGCCAGAATGTAACGTTGACCCAACACCACTGAGGCCACGCCGCCCCCACCAAGGCCACGCTGCCCCCACCATGCTCAAGGAGGGACCACTGGGATGGCCTATTGCTCGACAGGGTCGGTCCCACTGAGGGCCATGAGTGGTGCCCAATCCTTGAATCTTCACAGCCTGACTCCATAGCCCAATCACCCACACCCTGCCCCCTCTGCAAGCCTCATGGATGAAGAGCTCTCGCATATTACTCATAAGCCCAGAGACCCTGTAGACCACCTCACTTGGCCTGGAAAGTCCTCCAGGCCTGACCCATGCACCAAGTCTCAGCTAGGAGCTGCAATGTGTTACAGTGAAGGAATCCTTTCCTGCCAAGACCTCCGTTACTCCTGCAGGGCTTCAGAGAAGTGTCCTTCTTGGGATCAATTTCCAATGAAGCCGCCCTCCTGGAGAAACCACCTGTCCCTAGAGAGGATTCATGTTGGCTCCGTGAGGAAACCCTTGTGGCCTGTAGGGTGACCCTGAGTGACCCCCAGTGGCTTGGGTCATGGCCCATGACCCCAGCAACATCCACTAACCTATACCGCTCAAGGCCAGGAGCCCGCCTGGGCAAAAGAGCTCACTGAAAGACACAGCGAAGAATGGGGCTCAGGGAGGAGCTGCCAACCTGCCCCGCTGCCCAGGGAACCGGAGAGCCAACACCAAGCCTGCACATGGAGACTGGGCTGCCCCAAGGAGGAACACAGAGATAGGGTTGGGCACCCCACAGATGCCCTTCAGGGCCTCAACGACTCCAGCCCAAAATACAGTGGCCCTTCCAGGGGACCTCGGGATCCCAGCATCCTCTTTCAAAATTCTCCCCTAGGCTGGGTCTCAGCGTAATCCTATTGAGCATGATTTTTAAGTCATCATCTCTCTTCAGGAAAGTATAAGGTTCTCATCAGTGACCCAACTCAGGGTACTCCCCTCCCTGAGCCATGTATCCAGCAGGACCTGGATGTGCTCACCACAGCTCAGTGCAGGAGACCTGAGCACCAGGAAAGGTCTGAACTTCAGCATACGAAGGGCTGGGCACCTGACTGATGACCACTCAACCAGAGCCAGTGGACCCAACAACAGTCTTCCTCCAGTCTCACCATCTAGGGACAGAAGGTGGACATGTGTCAAAATGGAACCTCATACTTCTATGTGGGGAAGAGGGTTGCGGTGGAGGGGGTGGTGCCAGCTCATGCTTGCTCTCCCACTGTGGACCCATGTGATGGGATCCAGGTGAAACACTGACATATCATGGACACGGGGGAACCTTGGCCATTCCCACCACTGAAACCTGGAAGGACAGGACAGGCAGGTCACTGGGCTTGGGCAAGATGCCCTGGCTGTGCCCTACTGCAGACACTTGAGCACCTCCACTGCCCACGCCAGCTGCCTCCCACTACACCAGGACTGTACCAGCACCCGGGGTGCAGGCCAGAGCCACCTATAATCTCATGGCCAACTAAGGAGGCTGGTCCGAATGCCAGGCGCTGCCAATCTGGCAGTCATCACAAACCCTACCCCGTGTGTGGAGGGTAAGCACCCAGGTCCCGCTCCACAGCATACCAGAAATCACAGCCTGGGGCCCCAGGGCCTTGTGGATTCTCTGGTGGGTCCCATCCATGCCCCATTCAATATCTCCCACAGAGTGGGCCACATTCAGCCAATCAGGGAACGCATGATGTCTTCTCCTTTCCCTGGGCCAAGACCCCGGCCCCCTGGAGATGATCCCATGGCTCAGAGGCAGCCTGGACAGAAAATAGCCCAGACAGGTCCTTACACAGCGGGCCTTCCCACCTCAGGAGGACACCCTTCCCTCCAATTACCCACAAGAAAGAGGTGACCCCCAGTGGGAAATGGGCTACTCCCTTGGCCCAAAGCCCACTAGTCCCAGGGCTGCACTACAGCACCATCGGGCACTGGCCAGAGTTAGTCTAGAGGCAATCTCAGGAAAACAGAGCCACCCTCCCACCCTCCCACTTGGCTCAAACAGGCACCACTGGGATGGCCCATTGCTTACTAGGGTCAGTACCATTCAGGGACGTGGGTTTGGTGCGATGCTTGAAAATCCATTGCCTGACCCTATGGGCTGAATTGCACATACCTCTCTAAGGTCAAAGACCCTCACAAGACTCCCTTGGTGCCCTGGGGCCCATGTGGACCCCTCATGCGGCCTGGCCGTCCTAGAGGCCTGACCCAAGAACTGAGTCTTAGCAGGGCACAGCCCTGCATGGGGCTGAAAAAACCCTTTACTGCCTGGACCACCACCACCCCTGCAGGGCTTTAGGGAAGGTCTCGTCCTTGGGTCTGATTCCCAAGTAAGCCTCTATCGTGAAGAACCCAACCCAAGTAGAGATTTAGGTCACCTCATGAAGAATCCCTTGTGGCTGAAAGGGTGACCCTTGGCGAACCCATACAGCCTGGCTCATGGCCCATGACCCCAGCAGGATCCACTCACCTATGCTGGTCAATGCCAGGGGCTCTGCTGGGCGGAGAGCTCACTGAAAGACACAGGGGACAACAGGGGCTCAGGAAGGAGCCGCCAAAGTGAGCCTGGGCTGCCTCACGGAGGAGCACAGAGACAGGGTTGGGCCCCTCCAGATGCCCTTCAGAGATTGCAGGTCTCAAGCCCAAAATACAGTGCTTCTGCTGGGGAACTCCCAATTCCCAGCATCCTCTTCAAAATTCTCACCTAGGTTGGGCCTCAGCGGGCCTGAGCATGATTTTTGTCATCACCTCTCTTCAAAACAATATAAGGTTCTCATCATCGACCCAATCCAGGGCACCCCCTCCCTGCACATGCACCCAGCAGGACCTGGATGCGCTCACCACAGCTCAATGCAGAAGACCAGGGCACCAAGAAGAGCACGAGCTTCGGTGCACCAAGGGCTGGGCACCTGGCTGACGCTCTCTGGCCTGGGGCCATTGGGTTCAATACAAGTCTTCCTTGGGGCTCAACATCTGGGGAAAGAGGATTAGGACAGGGGTCCAAACACAACCTCACACCTCCATGGAGGCGGAGGGGGGTGTGGTGGCTCAGGGACACTCGCCTTCCATGGGCCCATGTGATGAAATCCATGCGGAACACTGGCCTGTCACGGACACAGTGTACCCTGTGCGCTCTGAGCCACTGAATAATGAAAGCCCAGGGAAGGCAGGTCACTGGGCTCAGGCAAGAAGCCCCGGGTATGCCTTACTGCAGGCCCCACGGGCACCTCCACTGCCCACGCCATCTCCTCTGCATGACACCCGGGTCACGCCAGGTCTACTAGGCACAGGCCAAGGCCACCAACCAGCTCATGGCCAACCAAGCAGGCTGGATCGGATGCCAGATGCTGCTGCAAAGCTGGCAGTCACATAGCCTGTCCCTGTTCACTGTGGGCACTCACCGAGGTGCCATATCCCAGCACGTCCTGGAAATCACAACCTGGGGTCTCAGGGCCACATGCTTTCTCTGGTGGGTCCACATCCATGCCCCACACACTTCTGACACAGAGCAGGGCCACACTCAGCTAATCGGGAACACACAGTAACTTCTCTTTGGGCCCAAGACCCGCTACCCTGGAGGTGACCCCACGGCTCAGAAGCAGCATGGGTGGCATATTCGAGAGACAAGACCCTCGAGAGCAGCCCTTCCACCTCAGGAGGCCACCCTTCCTGACACTCGCCCTCGGGGAAGGGGTGACTTCCAGCCACAGGAAAGGGGAGATCCTCAACAGGACATGGGCTGTTGGACTAAAGCTAAAGAGTCTATGCCCAGATAGCAACACCAGGCACTGGCCGGAGCTGAGCCTTGACCCAAACCTAGGGAAACAGCACCACCAACACCAGGCTCAAAGAGGCGCCACGGGATGGCACATTGCTCAACAGGGTCAGTCCCACTTAGGGCAATAAGTCCTGTGCAATCCTTGAATCTCTGCAGCTCGACTCCATGGGTCCTATGCCCACCTTCCTCCAGGGATGGAGAGCTCCTTTGTGACCCCATGGAGTCCCGCAGCCCCTATGGCCACCTTCATGTGGCCTGGTCAGTCCTAGAGGCCAGACCAGCACACCTAGAATCAGCTGGGGGCTGCCCTGCATGAGATGGAAGGAACCTTTTCCTGACTGGACCACCGTCATCCCTGCAGGGCTCCAGGGAAGGTGCCCTGGGTTCCGATTCCCCAGGAAGCTGCCCTCCTGGAGGACCAACGCTCCCTCCACAGTACAGATTCTGGTAGGCTGCCTGAGGAAACCCTCCTGTCCCATGACCTGCAGGACCACTCACCTATGCTGGTCAATGTCAGGGGGCCCCATCTGGGTGGAAGAGCTCACTGAAAGACACAAGGGGAGAATGGGGGCTCATGGAACCACAGCACCGACACCAAGCCCGCACAGGCAGTCTGGGCTGCTTCACGGAGGAGCTCAGAGACAAAGCTGCCCCCACCCCTGCCCCGGGAACCGAGATGCCGTTCAGGGCCTCAAGGTCTCCAGCCAAAAACACAGTGTCTCTGCCAGGAGACCTTGGGATCCCAGCGTCCTCTTCCAGAATTCTCCCTTAGGCTGGGCGTCAGCGTAATCCTATTGAGCATGATTTTTAAGTCATCACCTCTCTTCAGGACAATATAAGGTTCTCATCATCGACCGAACCCAAAGTACCTCCAACCCCACACAAGCATCCAGAGGGACCCAGATGTGCTCATCACAGCTCAGTGCAGGAGACCAGGGCACCAGGAATGGCCTCAGCTTCAGTGCACCAAGGGCTGGGCACCTGGATGATGACCACTGACCTGGGGACAGCCCCAAGGCAAGTCTTCCTCCAGGGTCACTATCTGGGGCGACAGAAGGAGGACATGTGTCCAACCAAGGGCTCAGGCCTCCATACAGGGAAGGGGGTGGGGGTGTCAGCTCATGCCTGCTCTCTTTCTCTGTGGACCCATGTGATGGCATCCATGTGAAACCCTGATGTGTCACGGATGGGGGTCCTTTTGCCCTCCTAGACACCAAATCCTGGAAGGACAGGGAAGGCAGGCTACTGGGCTCAGGCAAGATGCCCAGGCTGAACCCTACTGCAGGGCCCTGGAGCACCTCCACCGCCCACGCCAGCTTCCCTGCACTTCCCAGGTCAGATCGCAACCCCTGGCCAGGAGCCAGGGTAACCAACCAGTGCAGACCAACCGAAGAGGCTGGCCCTGAAGCCAGGTGCTGCTGTAGACCCAGCAGACACACAGCCTGCCCCTGTGCAAGGAGGGTGTCCAGGCTCCCTCTCTAAGCACGCACCAGAAATTGCAGCCTGGGGATGCCCTCACTTAGCCTTGGCAGTCCTCCAGGCCAGACCCTAGCACCAAGCCTTAGCTGGGAGATGTCCTGTGTGGGGCTGAAGAAACCCTGTCCTGCCTGGACCACGGTCACCCTTGAAGGGCTTCAGGGAAGGTGTCCTCCCTGGGTCAGATTCCCAAAGAGACGGCCCTGCTGGAGAACCAATCCCTCCCCGGTGGGGATTCAGGTTTTCTCCCTGAGGAAACCCTCCTGTCCTGAAGACTGACCCTCAGTGATCCCATGTGGCCTGGTTCATGGCCCATGACCCCAGCAGAATCCACTCACCTATGCTGCTCAAGGCCAGGGGCCCTCCTGGGCAGAAGAGCTCACTGAAAGACACAAGTGGAGAACAGGGGCTCAGGAAGGAGCCATTCTCGTGCCCCACCCCGGCAAACTGGAGCACTGACACCAAGCCTGCACAGGGAGCCTGGGGACCCTCACAAAGGAGCTCAGAGACAGGGCTGAGATCCCTACAGATGCCCTTCAGGGCCTCCAGGTATCCAACCCAAAATACAGTGGCCTTTCTGGGGACCTCTGGATCCCAGAATCTTCTTCCAAAATTCTCACCTAGGCTGGGCCTCAGCGTAATCCTATTGAGCATGATTTTTAAGTCATCACCTCTCTTCAGAGAAATAGCAGGCTCTCATCATCGACCCAACCCAGGGTACCCCTTCCCTGCTTAGGCATCCATCAGGACCCAGATGGGCTCACCCAAGCTCAATGAGGAGATCAGGGTGACAGGAAGGGCCCAAGTTTCAGTGCAACAGGGGCTGGGCACCTGCCTGACGGCCACTGGCCTGGGGACAGCAGGCCCAACTCAAGTCTTTTTCCGGGGTCACCATCTGGGGGAACAGGAAGAGAACAGGTGTCCGAACACAACCTTACTCCTCCACAGGGCAGAAGGTATGCCGGCTTAGGAATGCTCACCTTCCATGGCCCCATATGATGGGGTCCCTGTGCAACTGGCCCAACACGGACTCAGGGTACCCTGTGCTCTCTCTGCCTCTGAACCCTGAAAGGACAGGGCAGGTGGGTCACTGGGCTCAGGCTAAAAGCCAGGGCTGAGCCCTACTGCAGGCCCACAAGCACCTCCACTACACATGCCAGCTCCCCCAGATGATCCCTGGGACGCCCCAGGACTACTGGGCACAGGCCAGGACCACCAACCAGCTCACAGTCAACCAAGGAGGCTGGCCCAGATGCCAGATGCTGCTGTAGAGCTGGCAGTCACGTAGCCTGTCCCTGTGCGTGGTAGGTACCCACCCAGGTGCCGTATCCAAGCACATCCTGGAAATCGCAACCAGGGGTCCGAGGATCATGAGCTTTCTCTGGTGGGTCTCCATCCATGCCCCTCACACCTCGAAAACACAGAGCCTGGCCACACTCGGCTAATTGAGGCACAATGTCCTCTCCTTTCCTCGGGCCCAAGACCTGCCACTCTGGAGGGGCCTGCATGGCTCAGAAGGAGCATGGGCAGCAAATGGCCAGGATGAGACCCTCAATAGCAGGCCTTCCCACCTCAGGAGGCCACCCTTTCCAACACTTGCTCACGGAGAAGGGGTAACTTCCAGCCACTGGGAAGGAGTGACTTCCAACAGGACATGGACTGTACCTTCAGCCCAAAGCCCACGAGTCCAAGGGCCAGACTGCAGTACCACCATGCGCTGGCCAGAGGTCACCCTTGACCTAACCCCAGTGAAACAGCACCACTTCCCTCCAGGCTCGAAGACGCCCATGGGATGGCACACTGATCAACAGCATTGGTCCCAATCAGGGCCATGCATCAGGCATGATGCTTGCATCTCTGCACTCACCTCCATGGGCCCTATCACCCACCTTTCTCCAGGGGTGGCGAGCTCCTATTTAATCGCCATGGTGCCCCCTGTCATATGGCCAGGGCAGTCGTTCAGTCCAGACCCGAGCACTGAGACTCAGTTGGGAGCTGCCCCGGGTGGAACTGAAGGGACCTTTCCTGCCTAGACCACCATCGCCTCTGCAGGGCTTCCGGGAAGGTGTCCTCCTTGGGTCCTGTTCCCCAGGAAGCTGCCCTTGTGGAGAACCCATCCCTCCCAGGTGGGGATTCAGGTTGACTCCCCGAGGAAACCCTTCTTTCCTGAAGGCTGACCCTTTGCGACCCCACGCAGCCTGGCTCACGGCCCATGACTCCAGCAGAATGCCTCACCTATGCAGTCAATGCCAGGGGGCCCTCCTGGGCAGAGGAGCTCACTGAAAGACACAAGGGGAGAACGGAGCTCAGGGAGGAGCCACCAGTGTGACCCGCCCCAGGGAACTGTAGTGCCAACACCAAGCCTGCACAGGGAGCCTGGGCTGCCTCAAGGAGGAGCACAGACGCAGGGTGGGGACCCCCAGACGCCCTTCAGGGTCTCCAAGTATCCAGCCCAAAATACAGTAACTCTGCCAGGGACCTTGGGATCCCTGCATCCTCTTCCAAAATTGTCCCCTAGGCTGGGCCTCAGCGTAATCCTATTGAGCATAATTTTTAAGTCATCACCTCTCTTCAGGACAATGTAAGGTTCTCATCATCGACCCAACCCAAGGCACCCCCCTCCCCACACAGGCATCCAGTGGGACCCAGATGGGCTCACCACAGCTCAGTGCAGGAGACCAGGGCGCCAGGAAGGGCCCAATCTTCAGGATGCTGGGGACTGGACACCTGGCTGGCAGACACTGGCCTGGGGCCATTGGACTCAACGCAAGTCTTCCTCCCAGGTGACCATCTGGAGGGACAGAGGAAAGGTGTCTGAACAGAACCTCATGCCTCCATGCAGGAAAGGGGGCAGGAGTTGCTGGCTCACACTGAACCATGGACAGACAGGGGTGGCTGGTCACTGGGCTCAGGCAAGAGGCCCAGGCTGAGCCCTAAGGCAAGCCCCTGGAGCACCTCCACTGCCCATGCCAGCTTCCCTGCACTTCCTGGGCCGCACTGCCACCCCTGGGTGGGGCCAGGACTACCAACTAGTTCAGGCCAATCAAGGATGCTGGCCCTGAAGCCAGGCACCGCAGCAGACCCGCTGACTCACAGCCTGCCCCTGTGCCAGGAGGGTGCCTGCTCAGGCTCCCTCTCCAGGCACTCATCGGAAATCGCACGCTGGACCCCCCTCATGTAACCTGGGCAGTCCTCCAGGCCAGACCCTAGCACCAAGTATCAGCTAGGAGCGGCCATGCATGCAACTAATGGAATCCTTTCCTGCCTAGACCACGGTCACCCCTGCAGGGCTTCAGGGAAGGTGTCCTCCTTGGATCAGATTCCCAAGGAGGCAGCCCTGCTGGAGAACCAATCCCTCCCCAGTGGGGATTCGGGTTTTCTCCCTGAGGAAACCCTCCTGTCCTGAAGGCTGACCCTCAGTGACCCCACGTGGCCTGGCTCATGGCCCATGAGTCCACAGGATCCACTCACCTATGCTGCTCAAGGCCAGGGGCCCTGCTGGGCAGAAGAGCTCACTGAAAGATACATGGGGAGAACTGGGGCTCAGGGAGGAGTTACCAACATGACCTCCCCTGTGGAACCAGAGCACCGACACCAAGCCTGCACAGGCAACTGGGCTGCCTCACAGAGGAGCGCAGACAGGGTTGGACCCCTGCAAATGCCCTTCAGGCCCACCAGGTCTCCAGCCCAAAATACAGCGGCCCTGCTGGGGATCCCAGTGTCCTCTTCCAAAATTCTCCCTTAGGCTGGGCCTCAGCGTAATCCTATTGAGCATGATTTTTAAGTTATCACCTCTCTTCAAGACAATATAAGGTTCTCATCATCGACCCAACCCAGAGCACCCCCCGCCCCCCAAGCATCCAGCAGGACCCAGATGTGCTCACCACAGCTCAGTGCAGCAGACGAGGGCACCAGGAAGGGCCAAGCTTCAGTGCACTGAAGAGGGCTGGGCACCTGGCTGATGGACACTGGCCCAGGGACAGTGGGCCCAAGGCAAATCTTCCTCCAGGCTCACCGTCTCGGAGGACAGGAGGACATGTGTTTAAACAGGGCCTCACGCCTCCATAGGGGGAAGGCAGTGGGGGATGATGGCTCATGCATGCTCTCCCTCTATGGACCCACGTGATAGGAATACTGACCCGTCACAGGCTGGGGGAACCCTTGGTCCTCCCCATCACCTAACCCTAGAAGGACAGGGCAGGCGGGTCACTGGGCTCATGGCAGGATTCCCAGGCTGCACTCTATTGCAGGTCCCATGATGAACACCTCCACTACTCATGCTGGCTCCCCTGCAGGACACCTGGGCCACTCTGAGATCACTGGGCACAGGCCAGGGCAACCAACCAGTTCATGGCCAACCAAGAAGGCTTTCCCGGAAGCCACATGTCATTGCAGACCTGGCAGTCGCATAGCCTATGCCTTGGTGTGGAGGGCACCTGCCCAGGGTTCTCTCCAAGTGTGCACCAGAAATCACCAGCTGGGTCCCTGGGACATGTGCATTCTCTGGTGGGTCCCCACCCATGACCTACACACCTCCCAAACACAGAGTCGAACCACACTCAGCCAATCAGGGGACACATGGTGTCTTCTCCTTTCCTTGGGGCCAAGACCCAGCCACCCTGGAGGTGTGTCCATGGCTCAGAAGAAGCTTGGGTGGCAAATTTCCAGGAAAGGACCCTTGACAGTGGGCATTCCCACATAAGGATGCCACCTTTCCCACGAGTCACCCATGCGGAAAGGGTGACTGCCAGCAGAACGTGAGCTGGTCCCTTTGCCCAAAGCCTTGACCCAAACCCCTTCAAGCCATATCACCCCTCACTAGGCTCAAAGAGGCACCACTGGATGGCCCATGACTCAAAAGCTTGGTCCCATTCAGGACCATGGGTGGGGCCTGATACTTAAATCTCCAAAGGCCTGACCCCATGGGCTTGATCTTTCACCTCTCTCTGGGGAAGGAGAGCTACTGTGTGATCCCTGTGGTGCCCTGGACCACCTATGGACCACCTCATGTGGCCTGGGCAGTCCCTGAGGCCAGACCTGTGCAAAGTCTCAGCTGGGCATTGCCCTGGGTGGGGCTGAAGGAACCCTTTGCTTCCTGGACCACCATCACTGCTGTAGGGCTTCAGAGAAGATATCCTCCTTGGGTCAGGCTACCAAGGAAGCCCCCCTCCTGGAGAACCTATCCCTCCCCAGTGGGGATTCAGGTTGGCTCCCTGAAGAAACCCTCCTGTTCCTATGGCTGACCGTCAGCAACCCCATGCAGCCTGGCTCACGGCCCACGGCCCCAGCAGGATCCACTCACCTATGCTGGTCAATGCCAGGACCACCGGGCAGAAGAGTGCACTGAAAGACATAGGGGAGAATGGTATCAGGCAGGAGCCACTCCTGTGCCCCACCCCTAGAGAACCAGAGCCCCAACATATGCCCACAAAGGGCGCCAGCACTGCCTCATGGAGGAGCGCAGAGACACGCTTGGACTCCCTCCAGAAGCCTTTCAGGGCCTCCAGGTCTCCAGCCCAGAAGACAGTGGCCCTGTCAGGAACCTCGGGATTCCAACATCCTCTTCCAGAATTCTCCCCTAGGCTGGGCCTCAGCGTAATCCTATTGAGCATGATTTTTAAGTCATCACCTCTCTTCAGGACAATATAAGGTTCTCATCATCGACCCGACCTAGGACACCCCCCTCCCCGCGCATGCTCCCAGCAGGGCTCAGGGCAGGAGACCAGGGCGCTGGGGACTGACCCCTGGCCGGCGGACACTGGCCCGGGGACACTGGGCCCAACGCAAGTCTTCCTCCGCGGTCACCATCTGGGGGGCAGGAGCAGGACAGGTGCCCAAACACACCCTCAGCCTCCATGCCAGGAAGGCGCTAGGGTGCGTCGGCTCAGGCATGCCCTCCCTCCATGGACCCACGTGACGGGAACGCTGACCCGCCACGGACGCGGGGGACCCTTGGCCCTCCCCGCCACCCACGCCCGGAAGGACGGGGCAGCGGGCCACCGGGCTCGCGGGGGATGCGCGGGCTGTGCGCCACTGCAGGCCCCGCAAGCACTTCCGCGGCCCACGCCGCTCCTCCGCGCCACGCACCGGGCCGCTCCGGGACCGCTCGGCACACGCCAGGGACACCAGCCAGGTCACGGCCAGCCCAGGAGGCTGGCCAGGAACCCACTGGCCGGGGCAGACCTGGCGGTCGCAGAGCGCGTCTCCGGGCCTGACGGGCGCCCCGCCAGGCGTCCTCTCCCAGCGCGCACCGGAAGCTGCCGCCCGGGGACCGGAAGCCGCGTGCTGTCTGCGCTGGGTCGGCACCCTCGCCTCACAGGGCTGTGGAGCTGGTCTCACGTGGGCGCAAGCTCTTATTTTTCCAGCGTGTTTCTGAATATTGTAATGTCTTGCATCTTTTTACTTTTGAAGTGTTTGGAGTTCCACATTTTTCATATATGCGGATTCATATTTTGTAACTTCTTGCTTTATTATTGGCACGTGTCTTCTTTTGTATACAATTACTCCTGTATGTTTTCTAATGCCAGACGTATTTTCTTTTTTTGGCAGTTTTTCCATGTATATTACCATTGTCAAAATGAACCTTGAATTCTCCCAGTGTTTTTGACCGTTTTATGCCTGTCCTCATCTTACCCATTCTACGTATAAAAAAAAATTTTTAGAAGAATTTTTAATGGGTGCATACTAAAGCACGCCACTTTTTTACCTATTCTCTCTATAATTATAGTTACCTTTCAGCAGGATTTTGCGTGGGCTATTTGTATGTGAGAGAGTCTAAACTTATATAGCATAATGGAAAGTAATCTCGGTATCTAGAATGCAGTTATGAGTCCGCTTTGTACTATCATTCCCCTGCATCTTCATTGTGTTTCTTGCTTTTACTCTCATTAGACTGAAAATGAGGAGTTCACATGCTTTTACACACATGAAATTCATGTGTTCATCAACATAATCAGTTCTGGGTTTAGCTGAAATAGGAAGTTCCTCAGTCCCATACTTGAATTTTGTTGGTAGAATGTGAAACTTTCAAATTTCTTTCAGAAACCCTAAATCTATTACACTTAGAATCCCATTTATATTACAGAGATGTTGGTCTTCTCTTGTATAGAGACCTTACTTTTTTGTATAGACCTTACTTTTTATATAGACCTTACTTTTTGTCATATCTTGTTTAGATGTTGATTCTATCATGTTTACATCTTTCTGCAAATTGTCCAAGGCCCTAGACAATCACAGCTATATTTTTCTGCAATAGAATTTTATTACCAGATGTCCAATTCCAAATGCTTGTCCAATTCCATTTTGTTTTTCTTTATTGTCACATCTTGTTTAGATTTTTATTCTATCATGTTTACATCTTTCTGCAAATCGTCCAAGGCACTAAGTTTATCAGTAATTGTTTCTATATCAGAAGAGTTTGCAATTGTAATTCCAGTTTTTATTCCCCCTAATACTGTATTTAATCATCTCTGGCCAGGCATGGGGGCTCATGCCTGCAAACCCAGTGCTTCGGAAGGCCAAGGCAGGAGGATCACTTGAGGCCAGAAGTTCGAAAACAGCCTGAGCAAGACTCTGACAATACAAAAAGAAAAAAAAGTAGTCAGGCATGGTGGCATGTCCCTGTAGTCCCAGCTACTCAGGAGGCTGAGGCGGGAGAATCCCTTCAGCCTAGGAGTTAGAGGCAGTAGAGAGCTATGATTGTGCCACGGCACTCCAGTGAAGGCAGCAAAGGAAGACCTCATCTATTAAAAAAATAAATCTCTTTTAGTTTGATCATAGCACCATTTTAGTCCCTGTGTGAAAACATAGTGGTAAAGCTGATCATGTACAAGTAGAATTCCGTTTACTCACACTAGCTATTGTCATGTTAAACGAGAGAGACCATTTAATTATCCTCGAGTTTGTAAGCATGGAGACTGGAGACTGCCAGGTTCTAAACAGGGTAAGCTCATTTTTAGGGGATATGTTTTGGGGGTTTTGAAGAAACGAACCCTCATCATTTGGGCTTGGGGATTTCCTCTGCATCTGTGTATCTATTTGAGCTCTATTAAACTGGACCCCCATGGCTATTTAAGATATAGAGTTGTGCTGGGAATAGTGGCTCATGTGTGTAAGCCCAGCACTTTGGGAGGCTGAGGCAGGCGGACCACCTGAGATGGAGAGTTGGAGACCAGCTGGACCAACATGGAGAAACCCCATCTCTAATAAAAATTTAAAATTAGCTGGGTGGGGTAGTGCATGCCTGTAATCCCAGCTGCTTGGGAGGCTGAGGCAGGAGAATCGCTTGAACTCGGGAAGCAGAGGTTGTGGTGAGCCGAGAAGTATTAATAACAAAATAGTCTATCTCTCCTGCTGTCTGTGTGTCAGAGAAGTTTTTCTCTTCAGCTTGCATATTATTCAAGGTTTCTATCTAGAGAATTTATCCTTAAGGTCCTAAATGGAAATTATAGCTCACTCAATGGTGGATGTCGGTCTTACATGTGAAGCATGTATCCACTTGGGTTTCTTCTTCATCTTGATAGCACTGTGAACTCTCAACCACACCTGATAGGGTTCTGTCCAGTGTGGACACAGTCTGTCATCAGAACACTTTAATATAGATTGAGTCTCCTGTTCAATATCAATGACACACTTCCCCAGGGGGCTTTTTCAGCATCTGGCCACATGTTGGCAAGGTGAGCCCAGGAAAACCCACAGGCTCTTTAAGTATCATATATGGTCATGAGGGTTTTCCACTGTATCAGAGAATGGGTTAGGCTTAAGTCCAAGATTCGCAGGCTTTCCAAACTCAAAGGAAGAAGTGTTGTGCTTGCTAGAGGGATTTAATTATGAAACTGATGGTAAGGTTTTATATAATTTAGCTAAATAATTATTTAGGGTATGTGTTTCATTCATTCTATTTGTTCAGAAGACTGGGGAAAACAGGTAGGTAAATTATTGGTATTTGTAGACTATTACAGAGCTCCAAATTCCCATAGATATAAAATGATTTCTGGCCGGGCGCGGTGGCTCAAACCTCTAATCCCAGGACTTTGGGAGGCCGAGGCGGGCGGATCACCAGGTCAAGAGATTGAGACCATCCTGGCCAACATGGTGAAAACCCGTCTCTACTAAAAATACAAAAATTAGCTGGGTATGGTGGCGTGTGCCTATAGTCCCAGCTACTTGGGAGGCTGAGGCAGGAGAATTGCTTGAACCCGGGAGGCGGAGGTTGCAGTGAACCGAGATTGTGCCACTGCACTCCAGCCTGGTGCCTGGCAATAGAGTGAGACTCTGTCTCAAAAAAAAAAAATGATTTCCTTTACTGGACTCCATATATTCAGGAATTCCAGTGGTTGAGATGATATGATTCAGTAAGAGCTTGATCACTCTTTGAGCATCTGCTTTAGCCTATCCAGACACCAATACACAACACTGGTAAAAATATTTAGTATCTTCTAAAGGTGGAAGTTCTATAAAGTTCTTGTGCCAGCAGATCCTAGGTATCATTGGCCTCAGTAGGCTTTAGGTAAGTAAAAAATTTTTCTGACAAAGAGCATATCTTTATATTATTTCCTGAAGTATATGATCCTATCACAAAGATTTCAAGTTGTCAGTATATTCCTTTTGCTTGAATAAACTTGTTGGTGGTATGAAAAAGCCACTCAATCATATGACAGCTGGAATAAAGGAAAATTTCATTTTTCAATTCTCATTTTCCTATGGTGTTCTTCTTAGCTCTTCTTCATTTCTAATTTTCTAATTCTTTGAGAGTTGGCTATTTCTGAAATTATGAACAGGAGGTTTTGGATGGGAGTGTGATAGAGGTGATTTCCCCAGTCTAAGCCTTAGAAGCCCTTCACAGCTATATATGCAAATTAATTTCTTTTTAAAGAATTAATCTTGTTTTCCAGTGTGAGCTCTATAATAAATTACATAAATCTGTTAGAGAAGTTTGAATGACTCTACTAAATCAGAAATTAGTTTCACATGTAATATTTTAGTACCTATTGATGTTAGTATCTGTTCTTCCAAAGTTGGCTAGTCATATAACAGATCACAAACATATAATTATTATCATTATGGATATCTGCTTTACAACTGGTGGCTAATTTAACATCTGGTATAACAACTACAATTCTGCCACTTGGACTGATTTTATGTTTTGAAAAACAGAAGGCTGTAAGCTTCTTGAAGGCTGATTACTGTAGATGTTTTTATATTCTCCTGTGGGTCTTTCATACAGAATATATCAATGAATATTCAGTCAGCATTGAGAATAGGAATATTAGATAAATCAGACCATGCTCCAATGTCTTTCTCAATGACTCTGACAGAGTCATGTTCAACTTAGTCTGTCAAGATCTGACCACAGAGTAGCTGTCAAAAGGTTACACCTGCCTAAAATAGCATTAGGATTGGACAGTAAGATTTGTTTTTAGCTCATCTGACAGCACACTGACAAGTGCTGTGTCTTATGAAC